TGAAAGTGAAAATGTGTTGCTTACATAACTCATATTTCAGAAGAGCATTGCCAGATTCTGTCGTACGAGTATAAATGTATGATCAATATTCTAGTTTTTAAACAAAATATTTAAGAGGATCTTAATGGCAACAACATTCGCACACATTTGAAAGTGGTCATCGATGGCCTTACTGGCCTAAGAGCTTGACTTTTGTCCTCTGTGTGACCCGCTTAGAAGTAAATAATTTATAGTTATTGCCCTTTGCTAGTCTTAATTTACCTGTTGCTGATTATTAAAGCGTCATTACTGCCTAAGTTAACTGAAACTTATAGATCAGGTCAACTAGCCAAAACTGGAACCTTCTGCAGAAACAAATACAGGGTGTAAACGTTATGATAGTCATTATTTAAATGGGTGATATAACATCGGGATCAAAACGGCATTTTTTTAGAGAAAAGCGACTTTAAAGTAAAATAAAATCTGGTCAGGAGATCTTGCTGGCCATTTTCGAGGATCAGAAGCATTTAAACCGATCCAGCGATTTGGATAATGTTCATTCAAATACTGAATGACGCCTCTAAAAATGTGTGGTGGTGCCCCGTCATGAATAAACCACAAATTCTGTCTCCGTTGTAATGGCATGTTGTCTAAGGTCTGTTCCAAAAGTTTTGGTAGGTTATTGGCTAGAAAGCTAAGGTATCCTTCTCCTATCCCTCCTATAACCCCACGGTACACAATTAGTGTTTAGGCCTTTGGTGTATAAAAAAAAATCGTCAAGAATACCTGCCCAAATATTTATTTTAAAACGTGGTTGGAAATGACCTTCACGAATGGTATGAGGATTTTCTTGGGCCCACGTGTGAGTATTATGGAAATTTAATATCGCGTGTCGCGTAAAAGTACATTCGTCCGTCTCTAGAATGTTTTTAAAAAAATCTATTGACTTTTGGACCATGATGAACTTTTTGACTTGTTTTATTATTTTTATATATATATATATATTACGCATTTCAGTAATGATTACCATAACGTTTACACCCTGTATATAGACAAATTTCACAAAAAAAGCGTGAAGTTTTGAAGTAAATCGTCTACCGAAGAGTTGTAAGGGATAAAAATTCCTTCAAAATGATTTTCTTCAACTCTATAGATAGCTCGTCACTTTTCTCAAAAACTAATGACATTTTTTGAGTATTCAACACTTCATGCTTAATCTTCTGGCTATTATTTCAAATTTACTACTTTTCCGACAAAAGATAAATCTGATGTCCTACATTTTAGATTTTTGCAATAGCAAATTGACAGCTGCAAATACATTCAAGATTTTGAATGTGCTGAAAAAGTGATATTTCCAACTTTGATCTTCAATGAACTGAATCTGTCTAATTTTTTCTATTATCAGAGGTGTACAAATATAATTATTGTAATTTTCTGAATTGGTAGGTCAATGAACTGAATCTGTCTGTAATTTTTTCTATTATCAGAGGTGTACAAATATAATTATTGTAATTTTCTGAATTGGTAGGTATACATATTTTATGTAAATATTTGGGTAATTTATTTATTCAATTTTGTGCTTCAAAAATAATTTATTCCTCACAAATGTTTTTGTGCAAATAAATAAGAAGCACATGTAGCTCAAACATATTGTCGCCCCAACTATCATCTCAAAGATATATGCAGCTCTAAGGTGTCTGTAATAAAAGCACCAAATATGTCTAAGTAAATGCTGCTCGTTAATGGGATACAGGATTTTGAAGTTTAGATTTCAAAATAATGTTTCTTTATACTTATAACCCCCAGTATCGGATATGGTTGGCTCTCTTCAGGTGGAATAGGTTAATCGATGACAAAATATTGTTATATATCCATTTTTCTGCAACAACATATTTCACATTTACGACCTGTTGGAGCCAGCCATGTGACCGCATCAGAATGTTGAAATGAACATATCTTCAATGGGTCTCTTTGATCGAAATAAATGTACCTTTTTTTTTACAAAAAAATATCTGTTTCGTAATTTACCATAAAAGTAATAGAACGTTCAGAAATCTTCTTAGTCCAAACGTTTAGGTTGACATCACAAAAATGGCTTGAGCTATGGGAAAGTAGTTTCGTGAGTTAAACTTAAACATTAACGAGTGATAATTTACTTGGACTATTTTGTTCAAAACTGTTATCACAATAATTACTTTATGGTGCATTCATTACGGATTACACAATTTGCATGTATTCATTTTGTGAATATTTACTTTATCCTCGTTAGTTTGTTTTCCCATTTATTACCTTGAAAGAAACTCATTTACTCTACAGGAAGTTTCCAAAATGTGGACCAAAAATTTAAGGTTGCATGTCCATTTTCGGAGCAGTATTCTGTTATCCTTTTCATTGACTAATTTCCTGGTGTGTATAGAGATGATTTGAAAGCAATGTTATCTTTTTTTTTTGTCAAAAAATATTAGTACACTCTGAAATTGTATGTCAAAATACCACTTTTATAATAGGTGATTATGTTTAGTCTCTTCGAAAAACCTTTGATTTTCTTGAAACATCATTTTGCAGCAAATTGGGTTTTCAAGAAAAGCAAAGATTCTTTGAAGATACCTGTAGAAAGTGATAGGAAAAAAGTCATCCTCTCAATTCTTCCATAAAAGTCTAATATTCACATACAATTATTTGTTAACAAGTTACGATTGAAGAAAAAGAATAAATGCACAATAGTGCAAAAAAAACATCTCGTTTTTCAGTCATTTACACATACACACCATGACGCAATCAGACGAAAAGTATCAAGAGTACTCCTTCAGACAGGTTCTTGAAAAAAGGGAGTGGGGTCCTTTAGACTATTTTGTAATCTTGACGATTTTTTCGGAGATACAAACCCCAAGAGAACGCCACTGGGAGAATATTGTAGTCAAATGAATTTTTGATTGTTTAAGTGCTGTTTTATCGATAATTTTGATTCTTTTTGTAACAGATCAGCGAACCAAAAAACCTCTGGATATAAATTTTCAGTTCGCCTCATGAAGTTTTAGGATTTTGTCTAACGTTTTGGAGATGCGGTGTAAATCGAAAACAGCAGTATTGGAGCAGTTCTATTTTTCTCAAAAATCGTTAATTTTACTGAAATCAAACATAGGTTTTTTGAACCATTACCGCTATACCGAGTGTTTCAAATTCGATCCTTACCATTGGGAACTCGGAAACGGAAATTTTCCCAAAACAACGTTTTGAACAACTAGTTTGATTTACCTCTGCTTATTTATGATTATCATTGTTATTACCATTAGTGATTTTTTCATTTCGTGTTCAGGTTTCACCCTTTTTTTATTTCCTTATAATTTTCGTTCCAACAGCGAATTCACGGCTAACTAAGGAAATAAATATATCACTGAATTTAGGACACAATCTACAAAATTTCGATATAGTGTCCATGTAAAAAACAAAGTTCGTAATGGAAGTCGTAAGAAGAAACCTCGAATTAAAAATTTTACTACGCCATCTTGTAGAGGATAAAAAGTGACAATGGGATCATGTAATTTACTTTGAAATATTTTGCGATGAACCTGGCATACAAAAGAATTAAAAAAATTTTGGGAAAAATACGCAATACCCGAAATCTCAATGGCGACGGTCGAATTTGAAACACCCGGTATAGAGGGTCCTTTAACTGCATGTTTTTTTCAAAACTTATGAATCAGTTGTCAATTTGTCAAATTAGTCTTGGAATAATCCAAATTACCACCCCTTGAATTTTTGCTCGACCTTTTGGATACGAACAGGGTAATAAGATGTTACAGCCTATACAAATTGGATTAATATTAGGTGATCTAGAACCCAAGTGGCAGAAATATAACGCATATAATAATTTATGTGAATATGTATATAATGACGGCTCATTTTTTATTGCTTTTGTGTATTGCGCATAGAGCAATTTTATAACATTTCATAGAGATTATGTATAATAATAATAATAATGTGTATAAGTCGTTAAAAAAAGGTACCAATTTGCTAAATTAATTAAAGCTAAGATATGGTAACGGTTTGTCAAAAAAATTGCTACATGGGCATTATAAGTTAACAAAATGAATTAAGTTTTAGAAAGAATTGTGTTTTTGTACCTCAGCCCTACCCCGAAACTTAGTACTTAATATTTAAAAAAGATTGTGTAACTACTATATGTGATAGCAGCGCCAGATGGTCGATATTTAGGGCGCGTTATGAAATGGACGGGGGACTTTGGACCTATTTGGCTGATGACCCATTTAATGTTTTTTTTTTGTTATACAGGTTTGTTGCTAGGTTAAAGGGATTAACTTGGGCCGAACATAATCCTTTATGAACTGATGACAGCGTTGCGTGAGAGGTGCAGAGTCAATCTACTTGACGCCTTTTTTTGTCTTATTAGACAGTACTTATACACAAAGTTTTTCTACAGAAGTTCTCGTTTCTTGAGTAAGTTGAATGCGTAAGTTTAAAAGCATAATATCGAAGAAAATTTTCAAAAATCTCATACCTGTTTTTTGGGTAAACGTAGTGCATAGATCACCAATCTGCTGTCATTTCACAGTATCGTTTTAAAGTAAACATGGGAGAATCACTGCACCTTTTGAGCTACCAGCGTTCTTGAATGGTGTAATTTATTTAGACTTTTCACAAAATCATTTACCGAATTTATTGGAAGACGTACCACTGAGCATTTACACAGACATGTGGCGTCCATCACTCCGTCTTAAAAACCTTTTCTCTATATTATAATCTTGCTCTGTACAAGGCCCAGATAAGATCTAATCACGAATACTGCTCACATGTTTGGGATGCTGCCACGCCGACGACATTGTCCATATTTGATGCTGTTCAGAGAAGAGCTATCCGTTCCAAAATCAGCTGCGGTATTAAAAAAACTCCAAGGGTATTTGGGTGTTTCTATCATATAAAATACTCAATCATTACCTTGATCCCAATCCCAAAGATAGTGTCTTCATCAATTTGAAACGTGAATGAGAATAAAGCAACCATTTACATAAGAAAACAATTTATTTCTATAATTTAAATCACAATTTGTAATGAAAGGTAAATCAAACCTCACGAATGAAGGGCACAGATGGTAAAGTGTAAAAGGTACTCTATACAATGTGATGCTTATTTTGAACCTCATGAGTGGAAGGATAAGGTAGTGTGATGCGATTTTCATATATGTTCGAAAAAATATTCGAGAGTGGAACAAATCTATGGATGGAAGATATCAAGCACTGATGTTTCCATAACTACAACTAGATACATACATAGAAATATTTATAATAAATAAATAACACTTCCTATGCGTATTTTTGAGGAACTAAGAAAACCCATTCAGTCCCACAAAATAAAAAAGCTATATGTGCCTGGAGTCTCACTATGTTTTCTCCATATACTTTTTCATGCCTGAATCTGAAGTCGGAATTGGGGGACGCAGGACAAATCTTGGAGAAAACGCATAAAAACTATAAAAATCATGACACAGGTCCACAAAAAAAAATTGGGTGTGTTCTGGGGGTCACATATTTTTCCATGTACGTATTTTTTATCGGTGAACGCGAATGCGAATTAAGAATTGGAGGTCATTGGACAAATAAGAAAGCAATTCAGACATGTCAGAGATTATTGCACCAAAAAAATTACAAAATATCTGATATTAAAATCCAAATTACTTTCGTATTTGTCCTGCGGCTCAAAATGCTGAGTTCCGATACGTGTTCAGCGAAAGTATACGGGGAAATATGGTGTGGCCCCAGGCACATACCATTTTTTTATTTAGTGGGCCTGTGTAATCAGAACAAGTGAATATAAAGGATTATTAAAAAACAATGGTAAGATTTCTAGGGCATAAGATAGGTCCAAGAATAAAACAAAGTTCATATAAATATGGGTTCTAAAATGCCCACATACCCCGATTACAGGGTATTGAAATGAATAAAAGCATGGGCTTAACAGTTTGTGCATTCTGCGAAAATCAAAAGATCGCCAGTTTTGGTCTAACAAAGAAGGTAAAAAATCTCTGGATAATAATCTATTTTTAAAATACTCTTCGGGGTATTGTAGAGCGAGGCTTTAATTTTATTTATATATTCGGCGACCTCAAAAATTATGATTTTTAACCGAATTTTTAAGCACGGTAAATAAATTACATTTTTTTCCCCTCACGATTTTTTCTAGATCGTACTGAATAAAAAAGAACTGTAGTACCCACATGGGTATATTCAATGCTTAAAAACGCGGTTTTTGAGGCCGGTGGCGGATCCAGGGTGTGGGCTGGACACCCTCAGAAATATCCTAGTTAAAAAAAAATTCGAAAGTGTTTGAGTTCGCAACGACCTCCTCCCGAACAGCGACTAATATCAAATTCACTATATGGATGCCTCCCAAAAATATTTTCTAGGTCCGCCAAGTATCGGATATAAAGTTTACACCTTGCTCTATAGGATTCCGAAGGGTATTAGAGAGGTTAGTTTATTTTAAGGCGATTTCTAGCCTTGTCTATTGGGCCAAAAATGGAGTAATGTGTAAGTAATAACACTGCTTAAGCGTTTATAGTAACAGGTACTTGAATCATGTCTCTCCTTAAATGAGTGTTAATAAAATAGGAGCAACAAATATCCAAAAAAGCACTAGGAACGACCAGTCAAATTTGAATATACAGGAAGCTCCTTAATGACATGCTAATATTTAAGGTGATTCTTGTACACATTTTGAGAAAAAAAAATCGTATGAGCGTATGTCCTAAACGTCTTAACCTTTGAGAGACATGTGGTAAAGTTGCATGTTATAATAACTGCGATAGTATTGTAGATATCTTTATGAAATTTGGTACACATTTTTTTATTTTAAAACCGATTTCCGCACAGCAGTCACCACATCAGATTTTTGTGATTTGACTCTGAGGTGAAACGATTTTTGTTTTGTTAAGCGAAAACCATGCGTCGGGCGAATGGAAATCAAGAGAAATTAGCTCGGAAATGAAGCATTTTCATTTTTCAAGATGTCAAAAATGGTTTTTATATAAAGAGAAAGCAGTGGCGTATCATTTTTCTCTCTAAATAATAAAATTGTTTGTACATCAGAAAATGCATCGCAAAGATCTATCAGTTATAGAGTAGATTTTTTTCTGAAAACTTTTAGCTCAAAAGTTAAGACGTTTACGACGTACGTTCATAAGAATTTTTTGGTTTAAAATGGGTTCAAGAATAACCACCTCCTTAAAAATTACATGTCATTAAGGAACACCCTGTATGGTAATAGGAAGGTTATCAGCACTCATTGAATTGGTGCCAATAGTGGCAAAGGTTAGGCAATACTGTAATACTTAGTAAGTTTCTCAATTATACAGGGTGAGAAAAAACTCTGGAAACTCCTAATTGTTTTTAGGGGAATAATACAGTCATTTTCAGCGTTTTTTTAAATAAACGCACTCGTTTATTTATATCAGCAGTCTGAAGAATGAGTATCAAAAGCTAATATCTTTGAATATGTTTGAACAAGACCTGCTATTGGTAATATTTTTCAATTATTAGGTAGTTTCCATATTTTTCCTCACTCTTAATGCTAAGATAATAGATCATAAAGACAAGGCAAGTATAAAATTGGCAAGGAATATTAAAAATCAAGATAAAGATACAAAGTTTAAGTTGTTGGTTAACCACCCAGTTTTGAAAAACGTGGAGAATCGGTGTATATAAAAAATCGATAACACCGAGTCTCAGAGGATTGACGATTTTTAAGAGTACAGGAAATAGTAATAATCTGATTAATGAATTACCATATTTGAGGTAATTTAAAAGCAATCGTCTTCAAAAGGTTTCCTACCCCCAATTTCCGGAAATACCGCTCACACCAAAATAAAAGGTCAAGACAAAAGTCGCATAGCTTTGAGAGACCTTTAAAAATACCTTTAAGGTCACGTTGAGATCAATATGAAAATCCTAAATGAAACCGATCTTTTTGGACCCAACAATGGAAAAAAATGTTGTAGTCTGGTTTTATTGCTGCAAGTTGTTCAAGGGCGTATTAAAAACATGGACGCATAAAATGGGTACATCAATTATTGTGCGAAAACTTTTTATTTGACTACAAAGAACGAGAAAACTCTTCATACAAGATTTTTAGGTATTTATAAGACCTACAAAATGAAACGACACGTAACAAGATCCGACTAATCGCAAAAAAGTTATGGCCAAAAACCGAGGCAAACTGCAGGTTTTGACACTTGTTGGTAATGCGACGATGGTTTCTCGCAGATATTTGAAATTCCTCAAATTCGTTTTTCTAATAACCACAACAAAATTGGAGTAGATTGGTCAAATAGTTTTTGAGAATTTCTAATTGTTTATCCCAAAACAGGGTTAGTTCAAAGGGCATTTTATAGCAAAATACACTAGTTTACTTTGCCGATATGAATCGCAAACCATTCCGGAAGATACGTGTTATTTTTATGCAAAAAAGGATGGGTTACGTTTTTTCTTCTAAACAAATTCAAACATTTCGTATTTGTGTGTGTATTTGTTGTCAAATAAAAAGTTTTCCCACAAAAATTGGTGTACCCATCTTATGCGTCCATGGCTTAAATACCCCCCTGAACAACTTGCACTAATAAAACCAGAATTTATAATTATTTCGGGGAAATTTGCTAATATGACTAGGCTATAATGGATCTAATTAATATTGAAAATAACAGGGTCACTACTCACCTGAGAGAGATAATAAAAAAGAATATTTCTAACAATCAACACCTCCATTCAGGTTAGCTACAAAACCTATTTTTTCTCCTTATAGTTCAGTCAAACTAGAGTATTGAGTTTTGTCCTTGCTGTACAAAATTCTGCTTAATAAATTCTTTGGAGACATAAATAAAACTACATAATGCTTATTCTTTAACAAACATCGAGTAGTCATTCAATTTGCGTGAATACTGTGTGAAAAAAAACATGTTTCTTTCTAACCACTTTTGTGGTCTTTACGTGTTTACCTCTCAAAATCCTACAATTTTTGTCTTGAATTTTTTTTTGCATAAACAGTATTTTCTGGAACAGGGAGATGGGTCAGAAATGTTTCAAGCATACAGTACACAAATCCCTCCATCTCTATGAGAACGTACCACCTGTGCCTCCCATATGCCTATAATCTGCAATAAAAAAATGTTACAGTAAATGGTACGATTGTATAAACACTTTATATACATAAAAAAGTTGAGGTCAGATCATATCTCGAACACATTCAGTATCTAGTTCTTGAATGAGGCATCTCATAAAAGCCATTTCTTTACGAGCGTTATCGAACATCGTACGAGGATCGGTAGCTGTGCACCTTAAGCAGTTTGGAGCGAAAACCATCGCTAAGTTTGAGGCGTCCATTTTAGTATGTTGGATCACCTCTGTTTTGTTGAAAGCTTGCAGAAATCGTATTAAATAGCAGAGGACCATCCTATGCAGGGTAGGTAAACGCAGGACAAGGTCACAAGCACGCCTCGGTGTCATAGGCTCGGCAACACACTCCGGATAGAGAGAGTCCGATATCAAAGGTTCGTAGAGCTCCCTTAACCACAATTTCAGTAAATTAGCTGGAACGTGGGCATCACTAGGTTCGCTCATTTCCCACGAGTCCATTTGCCCTTTCAGTCTGTTCACTTCGTCTACGTCAGCTGATACGCGGAATATGCCTTCGGTAGTTAGTCCTTGCAGTCTCAGTACCTGAAATTAAGATTTTTTTACATTCATTCAAGCATTGATCAACCTAAGATCCAATGCGCACACGGAATTTCAAGAGCGCATAATTTCACGCAATTCAGATGTCAGTTGGCCCCCGAGATCGTGCGATTTAACACCTCTTGACGATTTTCTTTGGGGATTTTTGAAAGGAAAATGATCCCCGGACAATTCAAGACCTAAAGCGCAATATTCGGACTGAAATTGCGACCATAGACCCGATTATTATGGGAAAAGTCATTGAAAATTTTGATGTTCGGATGTTGGCCTGTAAACGAAGCCGCGGTGGTCACATGACTGATGTTATTTTTCATACATAAATGGCATAAACCAACCTAAATTTATCAATAAAAAAATCGATTTCACCTCGTAAAAAGCGTGTTGATTTTTCAAAAAAAAAGTAATAGATGACGCACCCTTTTGATCGTCAGTCTTGTGATTCTTTTCATAAAAAAGCGAATACGACCAGCAAAAATATTCCTGTGGCTCCTCAGCCTCCTTATTCACCTTGTGAGTTTTTTCTTTTCCCGAAGTTGAAAAATCACCTAAAGAAAACGCATTTTGGGGCAAGTCGAAAGCATTCAAGTGGCTGTAACCAACCAGCTGAAGGCTATTCCAGTATCGGAATTCCAGCACTGCAATGAGGAGGATGGAAGGACCGTCTCCAACGTTGTGTGGCTTCAACAAGTTATTTTAATATGAATAAAAAAAATAGTCTCATCACTTAATCGTTTATTGTAATTTACCTGTTGAGATAGTTCAACTAAAGGCCACGGAAGCCTACGATTTGGCCAACGGCTAGCTTGGAGTTGCATCACTTCACGCAAAGTGTTGCCAAACAAACTAGCTTGGAAAATTTGCTTGCGAGCCGACTCTATGTCATCTAATATGGGTCGGCGAGCTGTCCTTTTGCCTCCTGCTCCAATACGCTCCAACCTCTGGCAAGCTACAGTAGCATAGTGATTCACCTACAAATAAACAAATACCAATTCCCCAGTGCCTTTTTATGGTTGTTTTTTTTAAACAACACAAGCTATTGTTCACACGTTTTGACATATTTCGAGCTAAACAGCTGATCTGCAAGTGATATCTTTGTACAGAGTCTGTACAGCTGGCAATAATAAAGTTATCTATGATTGTGAACGTCTGTCTAGTCTGACACCATCACTTCTGAACCAGCAGCTGCCCCCCCACTCCCTAGCTGGGCAAGAATTAAATAGAGGAAACATTTTTTATAAAAATATACAGGGTTCTCCACCAGCTGAATTAATATCTATTAGATGAGTAATTACTAGGATTAGTTGAAATGTATGTTAAACATACACTTAATTTTGCTAAAAGCATGTTAGGTGTATTTCAAGTTTGAACCTCGCCTTAGGGGTATTGGAATCGGTAAAGCGAACTTGGACAGTTTAGGAATTTGAAGTATTTCCGAATTTACTCTGTGGTTTTTATTTGTTCCTGGCTTTAGTCCGAAACAAATATCCAGAATGTCTACAATAACATTACCACTTTTTCTCTTCTATATTGTGGCATAACTCTGATCATGATCTTCACGGGTATTTGAGGATCCCGAGAAAATAGGGAAAGTACAAAACATCTCCAAAAATACAAAGAAAAATGTTGTGCAGTAAAGTTTTAAGGTTTGAAAAAATGCACTTTGAACGTGACCTTCGAGTTCATTTGAAGGTTAAGACACTTTTCTTAAATGAAAACCCCTGGTGTATTACTTATATCTATCGAAATTTTATAAGACAAATAAAGTAAGAAGTTTAATGGAGTTCTGCTAATGAAATACATGAAAATTATACAGAAATTAGCAAACTAATTAAAAAGTAAAAAATAAAATAAAAAACCCATTTTAAAAAATAAGCTTTTATTTAGCTCTTAATTAACTGAACTAAACATATTTAAATTTGCTTTGATCGCAGGATAGAAAAACGGTGTAACACTCTTTTATTTGAAAACTTGAAATATGATGGAGCTTTATTATAGTTAAAAACTTCAAATCGGAAAAAAATATTTTGAAATTTTTAGTCCACTTTATCAGCAGCAAAATAGAAGCTTGTTTTCAAAAATGTAAATGTTGCAAACAAATTCTACTATGATTTATGTAGGAGCGGAGGTAGTTTTTACCCTTCTCAAACTCTTGCGGGTTTTTGGTAAAAGTCAAATAGTAAGACATCTAGCAGAAAAACCAATGTTCCAAATTTCATTCAAATTGGACTATCAGTTCCAAAAATTCTGAAAAAATGTTTTTTTATTCTTATATCGAAGTAGCCGCGCAGGCAGAAGGCCAGAACACCGCGGAGGCTATCAGGATGTACTCGTATTTTTGAAGGAAACTTCTATCGGAATTACTTTTCTCAACTTTTATGATTCATAAAAAACTAGACGATGTCTAGACGAGGAACTTTTTCATCTTCCTTTCCGATGTAAAAACCGTAATTTGTAAAATCTAGTTTTACATTGATCCACCTAGACCATACTGACGATTGCCGAGAAGCCTGAAACAGCTATACAAGGTTGGTCGGACGGAGGAAAGTAGTATTATCAAAAGTTACTTACCTGGACGTGGATTGGCCATCGGTTAACATCGGGAAAAACTCTAGAAAACGTTGGATCTCGATGTCGATTTAGGTACCCCAAAAGTGCAGGTTGGAAAACAGGGCTAGGAGGAATAAATGCTAGGGCAATAGTAAGCAGTTCCCATCCTCTCACAAGAGATTCCTTCCTAGGATTTTCCGTAGTCTGTCTGCACAGTTGAACAAATAATTCATCTCTAAGCAGAGACTGAGTATGTGCAGCACCAAGAATGTCCATTAGTAGTGAATTCAGTGACACACCAGGTCTAGCTTTTCGATCTCCCATATACATCTGCACCTGCCTAAACATATCCAGAGCTTGTCGAGCTACTGGCTTACTTGATGCTAACAGAGGTCTTTGTAAACTTCGTGCTGACCAACTCAGTAAATCACGAACACTAGCCTTCCTTCTGAATAGACCTCTACCTAGAATAATAAATCACAAGAAATGGTAATACATGAATAATCTATATATGTATATATAAAATTCAATGTCTGTCAGCATCAAGTCTGAACCATAACACTGAGAGATGTACCAATTACTACCCACTGAAACCTGATGAAGGTTATAGGCACAGTTTTATCCGCGAAAATTTACACGGTGTTTAAAAAATATGGATAGATCAAAATATCTCGAAAAATATGTTCCCTAGAAAAAAATTTGTTGAACAAAGTTTTAAGGTTTTACAGTAATCAGAAACTTCATTTTTCAATGTTTTTATTTTATATTTTTTTGGGGGGTCAACATTTAAAAAATTATCGAACTGTTTTCCAACATTTTTAATGTAGCAAAAATCTTTGATAAGGCATTGAACCATTTTAAAATCTGGCATTTTGTGTTTCACTTATCATTAACAAGCTTGGCCAACATTTTCCATACAGTTTCATTCATTCTCTGTATTTCTTGGCTCCTGCTCATAGAGCTTGTCCATTACATTTTGCAAAGTACATAGGTGGTTCAATTTCCTTTATTTCACAGCAGATATTTCCTTTCAAGTTTGCAATACTTCTTGGAGGATGAATGTAAACTCTCAAGTCTAGTTATTATGGTGGCCATGCAATACCCCCAAAGCACATAACTGGATCTTTTGATTTGGAATTGCAAGAGGTGTAAGGCTCCGATGCATTTAGCACAATAATTTTACTCCCCACCCTGCTGGATATTTTACCATGGGGCGATCAAAAGCAAAATTTACATCAATACTTTGAAGAATACGTCTGATTTTGATGAAATATATGTTATATAAGGAAGCAAAATGGAGCTTGTCATGCCTCAGCACATTATACAGAGTAGAGTCCATGTGGCATCCCCCTTTTCCCCTGTATCCCCTATAGCTCCACGAAACATGGCTGTTTAGGCCTTAGTGGTAGCTGGAGTATAAAAAAAAAAAAGGGCACTATACTTTCCATATGAGATCAGTGTACTGCAATGTTATCCTTTTAGCACAATGGTTTTTCAAAAGATTATAAAACAGAATTATGTGGATTCTTTATAACCTTTACTAACATATTGCACCATACATTAACAATAATTATGCTTATGAAATATTGTAGCTCTGGGTTCTACAGGGAACTATCTACAACCATTCTGATTCTGCTAGTAATCAATCACAAACCAGTTCTACTATCATGAGAACTTACTGATCAGAATCAGAATGATCTGAACAAATAAATAGAAATAGCAAGTACCTCCCAAGTTTAGATTATCTACAGCAAACTTTTCCATATCAGCCTCCCTTTCTGGCTGTAAAGGTGGTTCTGCTAAGGGTTTTAGTATTGGGGCAACAGTTTTCACTTCTTTAGCTTCTCTTTCTCTATCCCTTGTATCTCTAGCAGCAGCTGCAGGTAGGTTGAGATACTCCACAGGTCTGTGGGACAATCTATGGGGCAAGTAGCTGCCTTCTGACTGGTCTGAATCCTCATTATCAGGTTCATGCCCAGTCAAAGATTCACTGCCACTATCTGAATGATCACTATCAGAGTCTCTGCTGTTATTTAGTAAGAAATGCTCCAAGGGCAACAAGTGAGAATCATGCCAGTTTGAGTATAACGGAGCTTCAGCTCCTCTTTGGCTAAAACTACTGCTACGACACAGGTCACTTGGTTTACGTCTAAGCTGAGGAGTGCTTGCAGATAAACTAAGAACTTGCCCTCTTTCAGAATGATGTCCTGTTTGTGTAGACTGGTGACTTGTCACAGCAGCTGGTGTACAGTCTGTATTGTGTTTCAATGTCTGGAGCTTAGCCAGTGGGATAATATCACAGTTAGCTGGCTTATGCCAAACTGTTCTTTGAGAAGTAGCATTGTAATAATAAAATCTTGCCGTATTTTGATCGAAAAGTTCCCACCACTGGTTTGAATCAGTACGTTTGACAGGCACTCCTTCTGGAGGATCCCATACACATTCTCCAGTCGCCAAATTGGCATACATATGTTCTTGAGTCTTTGGCTCGATTATTTCGACCCATTCAACCCTGAAAGAGTATTTCATATTAGCTGGGGTGTGTCGATTTTATAATATTGATTGAATACCTGTATGAATTAGAAGCCATTTTTACATCCTATTCAACCTATGTACACTCAATATGCTGATATGTTTAACCTCATTTTGATGCTGCTTTATTGTCTGCGGTTATCCGCATATTGTAATAAAAAGTTACGAGGAAATTGAAGAACCTCTAGAAAAACCATAACAAAAACAAAATTCACGCAACCATTTCTACCCACTGTACGCCATTGTTTATTTTATTGGAACGTCAGAATGACCAAACTGTCAACAGTATAAAAATGAAAATTCCCCAGATTATACTTTGGTTCCAACAAACTTGTGCAACAAGCCACGAACTAATACTGAATTATACAGAGCATGCGCAGATTGAAATTACCATTTCGACAGAAATGAGTCGCTTTCCAGTGCCTCATTTGTGTTACTCGGAGCTACCCTCCTCTTGTCAATACCGTTCCATTGTTCTAGTCTAGAGTGTCATGCAGGGCCGTATGCTTTGCTGTTCGATTTTGGTCCGCCGGCGCGCATGACGACACGCGGAGAGTGATTATCATTCGAGTTGATATGGATAACGTGCATATTTTCACCTATAGGGCCAAACGGCTTAAAGGATTTTCACATATGAGGTGTCGTTGGATTCGTCTTAGCGGTACGAGTGACACTAGCTACATTGAAATTTTATAAAAAACAAAATTGTGGATTTTAATAAAAGATTTCAACCCTGTAATTCCTATTTCCTATTACAAACAAAGCCGGCCAAATTTTCTAGCCCGTCATACTCGAGCTCATCTATATCTTCCACTAAAACTTGCTCGGTATAGTCAGCTGATACTTCAGGTACATTCAGTTTATTCTCGTTAATGATGCGGTTAGTGGTTAGTGGAATGTCTGGAGTATCCTCTGACTCTACGCTGCAGTAGAAACTCTGAGTATGCGCCTTCGTTCCGCCCCAACATATATGACCTTATTCTATACTTAAACTCTAGAGGACTTGTATGGTCATGAAGACCATCTTTTGTCCTAATTACTCTGAAAAAGTTTTCTATCACATCTTGATTAAGACGTCTTGTTAACAGGTATTGGACGCTGAAGCGTCGTTTCAGATCCTTTAGAGCATTTTCTACAAATCCTAGCGCTTTTTACATTGACTTTGTCTTATCTTTTTGTGAGATGTAGCCATTTTTTTGCTAAAGTTTGGGTCTTGAGGAAAACTGTGGAACTTCATGTCTTTGCAAAGATTCCGTTTAGATTGATTGTCGGAATTACATCCCACAACAGCACACCGCATTTTTATCTATTTATCAACCACACAGGGTATATAAGGTGTGTATAACTAATACAACAACTCAAAAAAACACTAACAAATCGCACTATATAGTATTAAACACGATATACGTGAACTGCAGCAACGTTACGACAATCCTGCCGCTGGTAACCACGAGCCGATAACTCCGGGTGACGTCACGAAGCTCCGCCCACATGCGCAATATCCTATCTCCTATCTTCAGTGTATGTGTATCGTGGCGCACCCACCTCTTGTCAATACCGTTCCATTGCTCTAGAGCAGGCCTCTCCAACTCAGGTGCCAACCAATACAGCGCCGAGCACCGCTCGCATCACAGTGCTGCGGGGTGACTCCGCGAAGGTGGGGGAGGGATTAGGCAGCGGCATACGTATCGCGAATAGAAATGACCTGGGAGCTGGTGGCATTGAGTATACCTTCAACGCGCATTCGACTAAATTTCGTAATAATATATGTAATTTTTAAGTAAATGAACAAGAAGAGCTCAGTAAGACGGCGCGCATCCTGCCAGAAGTACCTGTCCAATCCAATGAAGCCTACAAGGTTTGATGGAAATTTTAGGCTAAAAAAAATCTTTAGCACTTTTTGCGCAGCTTAACCAGCGCGTAACACAATAAAAGGGTATGTCACCGTAAGTTGCTTCCAGGTCTTTTAAAAATACTTCAAACTGACGTTGTTGAGACCTTGCTTTCTGCAGAAATTGACACATGTTATTGCTACATCCATAAAATATTTGAAATTACGGAAAGTTTTTGCACATAGTTGTTCCTGATGTAATATGCAGTGTACCGATGATATCGGAGGTAGCCCAGCGTCGCGTACTTTTATTTTCATTCGCCCAGTAAGACCTTGTGCTTCCGATAACATTGCTGGCGCTCCATCAGTAACAACACTACGCAAACTTTTGAGTAGTATACCCATGTCATTCATTGTGTATTCTACAAAATCAAAAATATCTTCTCCGGCCATTGTATCTTTGAGCGGGATAACGTCTAGTAGTTTGTCGGTGACTATTTCGATACCTCTAACGAAAACAGCTAATTATGCTGTGTTAGAAATGTCATTACTTTGATCGAGAGCTATATAATACTGCACAAAATGGGCACATTTTCCCGCAGTTGATCTTTTAAATCTGCACCAAGTTCAAGTATCCGACGAGAAATTGTTTGCTGGGACATACTAATTGTCTCAAAGTTGCTTACAGGAGATGGGCACAATATTTCTGCAGACTCCACTAAGCATTATTTGACAAATGCACCGTCAGTAAACGGTTTCCCAGTTTTTGCGATTTTCAAAGCAACAATATAACTTGCATTACGACACCATTAATAATAATCAAATACGACCAAATTAATAATTACCTCTTCAGAACTTAAAAGGGCTGGCCTCAATACCGTGTGACAAATTAAACATTTTGCTTTTCCATCAGTATTTACAAAAAAATAGGCTTCTTCCATGCAGGATTGAATGACATCGTTTAAAAAAAGATGCACGTTAAGACGCTAAAAAACCTGTCCACTTTGTCTTGTCCTATTATGAAATGGCCCGCGCCCGAGAGACAGTCGGCTAATATGTTGGCCATCACTATCATGGAAATTTAAAGTTCAACTCTTGTTTAATGGGGCACTATACTTTTGACCGCGGAAATGGGAAAATTTATGTTCGAATATATCCCCGACCATTTTTGGAACGACCTTGGACTTGACCATCATGATCAAACAAGTTTACCTCAATTTCTTGAGGATCCAGAAAACTGTGTAATCCCCAGATAAACTCTTCTTTCGGGATTGCTCGCTGACACATGACATTGAAGGTCATCATGGTTAAAGTCATCCCAGTTGACCATTGGCATTTCTGGGAAAAACCATGAAAATGACCGGTCGTTTTCCTATACGACTGCTGATCTTCAAGTCATATCACAGTACCTGGGTTTGAGCTTGACTATAACCTAAGGTCAAAATTAAGGAATGGTGATGACCTTGTTTGAACGCTTTCGAAATTTTCACTAGAAAAATCTGAGAAATAAAGACTTGGCTACAAGCAAATCTCGTATAATTCTAGTTGAAGCATATTGGAACATCATGCTTTTTGGAATATATATTTTTTCTGCTCTGCAGCCAGCAGAAACTGCGTTCCGGGGTCCGACGTCAAACCAACTTGATTTTCTTATTTGCTGTTACCCTCTTGTTTTCAGTGCTTGATCTCTGTGTGGTAATGCGCAAAGAAATGGTACGTGCATTTTGGGTTGTTACTCATTTTCTCCCAAGTTCTATTTTACCAGCAAAAATGATGAAGAGCAGGGGGAAAATAAAACAAATCACATTATCTTAAAAATATAATTTTGACTAATGTTAACAAACACAGATAGAAGTACTTTTTTGGTAGACAAGCCCAGAAATTCATAAAATGTTATTATCAAAAAGAAACGCGTATGTGATTTTCAACACGAACCATTTTACTAGATACAAATCCAGAAATAAAGTCATGTTCAATACATACAAATAAAAAATCTTTTGGTAATATCTATATGTACAAAAAGTTTTCTCGCTTTTTTTTATAGAAGTATATAAAAAGTATTTGTGTCGCAAAGAATATGCACAACATATCACATGTTCATAATATAGTACCTATGGTGCCAATGGCAAACTTATACAGGGCAACAAAGGTTCAATGCAAACGTTTGTTAAACTTTTTAAGCTAACATCCAGACGCATCTGGAAAATTCGGAATCTTCCTACATTTTACCTGCGCCACATTTTAGACAAGATTTATTGGAAATAAAAAAAAAATAAAACAAATATGAACATAGATAAAAACGTTAGTCTTCTATTGTCTGGTCGAATTAAACCACATGGGCGACCTTTTTCAAGTACAATGACAATAATGACAGTACATTCTGTCATTATTATACAGGGTGTTGCTGAAGTCGACGTAAACCCTTCATCATCAAGAACCGATGAAAATATCGACAGAATTGGGAATCTCGTGCGTGCAGATCGTCTGTTGAGAGTCAGAATGATCAGGGAAGACTCAAATTTGACTCACACCACCGTTCATAAGATTAAGAAAAACATTCCTGGGGCTCCACAGCCTCCTTATTCGCCTGATTTGAGTCCTTGTGACTTTTTTCTGTTCCTGAAGTTGAAAAATCACCCCAAGAGACCTCAGCCTCACGGTACCCAATGGGTGTTTAGGCCTTAGGCCTTCATGGTAGTTGGAGTAAAAAATTGGGACAGTCGAAAACATTCAAACGATATAAAATGATAAACTGATTGTGATTATGTGGCGCAGGTTCCATCAGAAGTAACCGTTTTCCAGTTTTATTCCTGAATAAAAGCTTAAAACCAGTAATGTCACAACACGGAGTTTTAAAAAAATTGGGCTTAATATTAAGTAAATAATAGCTGTGGTTTGTGAAAGGTTTCCATATAGGAATTTGTAAGTGCTGTTAGAAGCTTAAGCAGACTCAACACAAGGTTCATATAACACAGCATGCAAGCATAGTTAGTTCCACTGCAATATATACTAGACGAAAAACTGAGCGTAAAAAACAAAATAAAGTCTTATTGCCTGTGATCCACACTGTACATCACTAAATGCATTTAATGTTGTGACAGTTCTAGTTTATAAAAAGGTCTTAATCTATAACACAAATGCAAAATTCTAATAATTTCGAAAGAATATCAGTGGGAACTTGTAGTAATCACTGAGACCTATTGATAGTCCCCCATGTTTGTCCGACCAATCAAAACCACATATGTTTAAAATTCTCCGAAGTTGAAAAATCACCTCAAACAGCTGACCCAGTACCGAGTTTCAGCCTTGCTATGTGTAGTGAAAGAACCGTCTCCAACGCTGTGTGGTTTCAGAATGAAGTCATTTTGAGGATGACAATATAAAATTGTACTTATATTTGAACAAACTTGTGTTTTAAAATCAGTCTCATCACTTAATTTACAGACCTCGTACATTCGCGTCGTACACTGTTCAAAAATTCGAAATGCGAGAAATGATACTGTGACGTCTAAAAAGAACCACCAGGCTCATTAATAAAAAAAAATGAACCGTGTTGTTTGTCTAGTGTGGAAATAATATAAGACACAACAGTTTGACCTTGAAATAGTGAATTAAAACGTCTGCGCGTTTCAAGGTCAATCGGCAGTTCTGGGTGGGTTTCGCATTTTGGCGTTTTCTGGACGATGAACGAGGGTGGCGTGTCTGGTCCATTAAAAACGACAAATAAACCCATGCATTTTAAACATATTTTATGTGGCTTTGATTGTCTAGATCTAGACAAACAAGGGAGATTGTCAACACGAAAACCTTGAGGATAAGTTCCGGATGTTGCAGATACCGACCGCCTAATAATAAAAGTACAGGATATCACTGATTAATACCTTTTTGAGAAAGCAGCTTTTGCAAATGCAGAGTGATATATTATAGTGACATCCTGTAATTTTTTACAGACGGTAGTTAGTAACTTTAGACCAGCACTTTCAACTCAAGTATTTATGCAAATATAAGTGGTGGTATAACGTTACAAGAATCTTTTTAAAGCTTTGAGGATACACTTAAATATTAGATACTTATCACTGGGATCAGAATAGAGGTTTATAATGAAAAAAAGGTTAATGAGTATGTGGAGCATAGTAGTCTGGCATTTCACTAGTACGTAGAACACAAGATCTGTCAACAAAGGATGAGAGTATTTAAGAGGGTTTTTCGCCCCAATAATAACTCAAATATTGCAGAACATGTACTTTAAACTTTAACAAAAATTTTCATTCTTATTTTAGCACCAGATTTTTTTTTAAAAGCTCATGTTTCGAAAATCGAAATTCAAATTGATCGTACATGAAAGGAGATCGTTGATACAAGGGTGAATCAAATATGAACCGGACTTTTCTGTTTAATGCGTTATATGTGAATGGAGTGTGGCGACGTCTTGGTATATGTTGGGTGGGAATGTCAGGAAGAGGGGACCCAATCGGTTCGGCGCGCCGAAGTAGGTGAGCTGCATCATGTCTGAGCAAGAGTTATTCACGTCGCGTAAAACCTTCCGAAATTTTGCGTTGATTAACAGCACAATTCGGCGATAGTTTCAAGGATACAAGTATACGAGTCGCAAAACATTTTTCCATGGAGTGTCGAATGCCTGGAGAGGCAGCACCGCGAAAAGCCAGGACCAGTCTTTCTGCAGGAAAAGTTCTCTTGCAACAGTATTTTGGGATTCCAAAGGTGCACTGCTAGTTGATTTTCAAGATCGCCGTATAATTAACTGCTTAAAAAAGTGACATTGGGCTATCGGCAAAAAAGGCTAGGTTTGGGCCACTTAAAGAAGACCTGGGAGGTCACCACTTTGCGACGACAAAGGTGCACAATTGGCTACTGACACGACCAGCTTCAGTCTTTGATGGGGGAATTAAAAAACTTCCGATCCGATGGGAAAAATGCATCAATAAGAGAGATTACGTAGAGAAATAAGATGTAAATAAACTTGTATTTACTATACCAATACAATTACTAATACAAAAAGTCCGGTTCATATTTGATTCACGCTCGTATGTAAGAGGAATAATGTCGGAGCCAAGACTGATCCCGTCTTGACATTGTGGGCTGAAGACGACCGTCAATTGCGACGAATATGTTGCGACCAGAGAGGAAGTCAGCCACGCCTCTTCAAATCTGATCGAACCCTGTCGTGATATCTAAAGCAACCATGTTGCGAGATAAGTTAAATTTTCAAAAATGGCTGATCTTTGGACAGAAATGTCAAAATTGCGAACCGAAAGCTTTTAAGAACAATCAAGTAATAAAATAAGGAGAAAAATGTTGATGAGCGTTTAAAATATTTGAATGCATAACTAATTTAAGTTATTTTCCAGACCAAAGAACCGCTTTATAGACGCTGATCCTTCAAAAATCAAATGAAAACTATCCATTAGAAATCCATAAAGCATGTTTGTACCTATTAAGTATCCTTGTAGGTCATATTTATACGTTTTATGGCTAAAAAAAAAACAAAAAAAAAACAGACAGACTACCACTACTACTTGGTACTCAAAATTGCAAACATCTGCACTGTTATGAACAACCTGCATAAATAAGCATATAAGATTTCTAGACATTCACATCAGAAGGCATTGAATCAAAAATAAAGAAAAAATGAGTTGCAAACATACATGGAACAGCCCATATCACAGCTAATGAATGAATAAAAAAACATTAGTTATAGAATACTTTTAGCAAATGCTTTTTTCGTTTACGGCAAGCTTTTCTCTAGTTTTTGTTATCGTTCTGAACAAAAAAGTCCATAGTAAATTTTTTATAAATATAACCATTTTGGAGGAGAGCTCTGAAGAGCTAAGCCCCATTGACATAGCGGTAGCAGATAGCTAGGTAGTCGATTAGTGACAGCTCGTCTATGGCGCCCCAGAGGAGCTTTGCAGACGAGTGGCTCACTTTTTCTATAGGTATTACCATTGCAAGCTTTAAAATGTTCATATTTAATTTACTGAAACAAGAATACCAGTTTTGCACATATACAACAAAAACATTGCTTCAGACGACTGTACTGTATTCTGAAACGATCGAACCCCGTAGATTTTTTTATTTTCAATTTTTTGAACTGAGATCTTTACAGGTCCGACCACGTTTTGCGCTGTCTTATTTCAATGAAACTTATATGATTTTCTTACAAATACAACCGAAACTGTTAATTGCTGATATCATGTGGGCAGATCGTCAGTAAAAGAAATAAACTATCAATTCGGCGTCCTGACGTAAAAATGTGATTTGTGTCACCCCGTAGGTGAATTTCTAGAAATCTTCTTCCTCATGCAACTTCACAGCCAAATGCTTAACAATAATTTTTCAAATACTGATATTAATGAAACTTAATTTCTATACCAAGAAAAGTAAAATTTGAATGGCCCCTATAGGTTCTACGATTAAGGAAGAAAAGTACATTTAGCTAGCAAATCTCAACTATGTACAATATCAATACAAATTGTATATACAACTATACAGTTTATATTATAGTACAATCGGTTACTCATCATAGTTTATAAAATTTTTAAAAATATACTATCCGAAGGAAATTTTTTTCAGTTAAAATGTACAAAATATATATTTCAAAGTTACATGGTGACAAGCTATAATTTGAATAAATAAAAAAGGAAAACGTAAAATACTTATACGGTATTACAAAAACTCACTGGGATTTTTTTTACGGTTAAAGGTGTGGATCCAAAAGGTACTTCCAAGATCTTCAATATCACAACATCGCCTTATCAAAATATAAAAAGTAAAAAAATGTATTTGTGTTGGATGCCATGCATTATAATTCCTTTATAACTTGTTTCTCAATGAAAACTCAGTTGATTATAAAACGCGCAACGTATAAAAATATAAACAATAAATAAATAAACATACTACAATAGCTACGGACAGAACAGACACTTAAGTAATACTTAAAACAAACATCAAATAAAATATATTAGTAAGTAAAGCATCCGAAAAATGAAATGGGACATACCATTTTTGTAGCAGAAATAAAAAAGTAAACGGTATATAGAATATATATAAAGCCGACAAGGCGACTTCTTCGGCGCACCTGTTTGCTTGTCGAGGTGCGGGGCACGGTAAGGAGCTGGGGGCTATGGGTGTCGAAACTATTAGTGCTTTTTACGTTATTGCACATTGCTCAAATGTATAATTTATACATATAAACCAGCTTATCATCATTATTTAGACCATACTATACGTGTGTCGGTGTCATAATGAAGAACAAAAAAAATGTAAACAGACACTATAAGCCCGTCGTGAACTATTATACTCAGTGACAGAAGCGTTACACTCAGAGAAAATAATTTTTTCAACTTGGCAACATAATGCCTATATTTGAAGTAAGCTGTGGCGACAAGGTCAACGTTTTATCTTTGTTTTTGTTTACCTTTGTTAAAATGCACTTAGTTTTTGTGAAGAAAGCACTTTCTGAGAGCTGAGTGGTACACATATTGATAGTTATTGCTCTTTCATTTACTAGTGTTAAGAATAACAAAATTCCTCGAAGTGGATGACGTCCAAATTATCACCATGTTGGCGACTTTGACAGTGGTGGAATTATTACCATCGAGATGCTGGTTAATTGTACTGCAATGACGGTAATGCGTGCGAGTCGTGTGTGTGGATAGAACAAGGTAGAGGAACACGAATTTGAGCTTTTCTGCATACCGTCCACGGTTAGTGCTTCCTCTGACTGCGGACCACTTCAAGAAGAAGGCGTTAACGTTTTTCCGTGATTTAAATCCCATCGAATATGTGTGGGATATGATGGGTAGGAGACTAACCACTTTGCACCATCCGCCGCAGTTGCGGGGTTGCCTAGCACATGATTACTTATCAATAAAATTTCGTGAGAATGTTACTGTTTCATTCTATACCTCATTGCCAAAAAATCAAGTTGAAGAATTTTTTTCTGGGTTTAATGTCTCTGAGTATATATACGATACGTTAATATCCATAAATTCCTGGGAAATTTAACGAATGCCGGCTACTTAATGTTGCAGACAGTGAATGAAGGCTAACGCAAATAGTCACCGGCTTGATAGAAAAACTACGATTTAAAAGCAAACCTTGGATGCTTTCGTAAAAATACGGTAAAACTACAACTTGTCACCATGTAAGATAAGGCAAATTTTCCAAAGTGCAGAATGAGCAACTGACCGTTTGGAGTCTCGTGATTTCAATTCAAAAACTTCCGACACTTTCGCGAGCCGCAAGTGCAAGGAATTTTATCTTCTTCGAAGGGGAACTTGTAGTCGTAGGTTAACTCTTCGCCGCTGAGTATGCGCCGCAATGCGAATATGATTATATGTTTGTGGCCCAGGATATCTACAACTTTCGAATAGCAGTTCGGCTGTGGAGAAAGAAAGGTGTGTTGGTTATATAGGATGTTTCCTTATTACACAAATTCTTTGAAATATCTAGACGTTTGCGTCTCATACCGACATGCGAGCGACTTTCTTCAAAGGCTGGGCAGGTGTTTTCATGAAGAAGAAATAACTAATTCTCATTGCTTATCCTTTGTAAATGATGTCATTTGGTATTTTATTAATAACTCCATTTTGTCCTTGAACTAAACCACGATCATATCCAGGCAACCAGTTATATAACTTTCTGCTTACATGGTTGCCTACGGTAGTGTCCAGTCTCCTCTCTCGTTCTCGTTCGTTAACTCACAACTAGTTCACTTGGATCATTGGGAGTGAACGAGTTTTTCGAGAAACGACGAACTATTTCACTTAATTCAATCAGAATCGTTCATTTGAACTAGTTCGTTCGCGAGCTACACGTTACGACTTAACATTACCTATTACTCAATAGTTTTCAAATATTCCGAAACACAAAAGACACAATTGTCAAAATGACATGACTGAATTGACAGTAAGAATTTGAAATGTCAAGACATTGGAGGATTGCGGTCAATAATGATGGTTTTCCAGGCAGTGAAAGAATATACTTACGTCACACGAATGGTTGATAAATCGAGCAGCGTTTCCTTTCATAGTGGCATCAACAACGAAGTTATCGTCGACGCGGAACATATAGCAGCCAATTCCTTTCGAATTGTAGTACTTTTCCCTCTTATCTGTCAGGATGGACCGTATCACCTATACGGACAACAAGTTTATTATGGTATACAAAAAAACACTGCTGACATTTTATTATGTTATCATAACCACCATCAACAAATATTCTCGAGGCCCTAGACTTTTCTCATCAACAACAAGTATAACTTTTGGCTGTAGTTCCAATAAGCCTTAAATAGCACTGATGTAATAAAATGATTCTTACCTCTCCTGCATATTCTATGACCATTTCTCCAGCTTCAATATCTCTAAGACAGAACAATCCCCTTCCGTGAATGCAAGACCTATACACGCCAACTGAGTATTTTGATGTAATTTTTAACTGGCGGAATTTCATTGCCATCGGCAAGTTCACGACTCTCCTACAAAATAAAATAAATAAGTGCCAAAATCTGACAAATGTCCCATATTTCAATGTACGAGGCTTGTCCGTAAAATAAGTTCCACGGGCTGCCGCTGGCGCTAGGATCGTTTCTATGCACAGCCAGGCAACAGAGGCAGATTGTTTGGTTCCCACACTCCAATCCCTCACCAAGCCAGCGTCTGTATGAGCTGCGGGATGGTGCGCAGATGGGTCAGGGACTTTAAAAATGGCCGGTTTCCGACGAAACAATTGCCAAAGTCGAAGCGGCAATGCTTGAAGATCGACGGATTACAGTTCGGGAGCTGTGCACAAAGATTCCGGAGGTCAGCAAAACCACAATTGACAAGATTTTGACTGAACATTTAGGCTATTCAAAGGTCTGCGCAAGATGGGTACCAAGAATGCTCACTGCAGACCACCGGCGGCAGCGGGTTGAAGCGGCCCAAGAATTTCTTCTCGCTTTTCACGGAACAACCGAAGAGGAATTTCTGGACTCTATTGTTACTGGTGACGAGACTTGGGTACACTACACCACACCGGAAACAAAGGAGCAATCGAAGCAGTGGAAGCACTCTTCTTCACCAAGAGCAAAGAAGTTCAAACAAATCCTGTCTGCCGGGAAAATCATGGCTAGCGTTTTTTGGGATCGAAAGGGCGTATTGTTGTGCGAGTTTATGCCTCGCGGGACAACAATCAATGCTGACCGGTACTGTGAGACCTTGAAAAAACTTAGACGTGCCATTCAGAACAAGAGAAGAGGAATGCTGACGAAAGGAGTGCGTTTTCACCATGACAATGCCCGACCGCACACCGCCAATCGAACCACAGCCCTCATCGAAAGATTTGGATGGAAAATGGTGTCTCACCCACCCTACAGCCCAGACTTAGCACCAAGTGACTTCCATCTCTTCCCTGAGTTGAAGAAAAACCTTGGCGGAACCCAATTCCAGACAGATGAAGAGGTGCAAAACGCGGTTGTTAGTTTTCTACACGGACAGGCGGCAGAGTTCTATGACTCTGGTTTGAAGAAGTGGGTGCCTCGAATGCAGAGATGCATAGAACGCAACGGCGATTATGTAGAAAAATAAAAGAAAGACTGAACTTTCCAAAAATGTATTTTCTTTGCAATTAAACCAATTTTTTGATATGAAAAAAATTTGTGGAACTTATTTTACGGACACACCTCGTACATTCAGATCAACCATGCTAAAAGAAGAAGATCGATATAACACTCTATGCTTCGATGACTATTTGTTGTTACCAGGGACTGAATGTGGAAAAACGCTCAACGCTCAAGAGCCCGCCATTTTGACAGGTATCAAATTTATATTCTAAGGGCCGTATCGTCAGTCATTCCTACGATTGTAGGACGCCTTTATGGCCTCCTTGATTTTCATAGTTTTCTACTTTTCGTGCCAGCACTCTATATTACAAATATCTATTTGCATAAATTGTTCATGATTTTGATTTATATGATTTGTTATATAGCCTGAAATTGCCTTCAATTCAAAAAGAAAACATAGCATCACAATAGGAGAGCGTTGACAGTGACACAGAACAGTAGAAACCTAGAAATATCCCAGCCTTTTTGAAGGAGGGAAAATTACCTGAAAATCAAGGCCATAAAGGCGTCCTACAATTGTAGGAACGAATAACGATACGCCCCTAAAGTCAGGACAATATTTGAGTTGTAGACTTTCTCGGAGGGACGTGGCAGTACGAACGAGTGTTATATCGACTTCCTTGATAACACAGGTTGACAAAAAGACCAAGAAACCACCGGCTACTGCAAAGATTTTTGATGCCCTGAATCCTAATCCGGGCTTTCAATTGGAATTAGTTTCCGAGATATCCGAACCTGAAAGTACAGATTTGATATTTTTGTCTATATTCAAGGTTATATAGCAGGGCGAATTATTATTTTTTTTTCAAAAAAAAGCACAAGATTTGCCCTTTCAAATGCCGCTGAGTTTGTTGAATTTCGCAAAAATGAAGATTTCAAAGTGCCACATCTCAACGAAAGAAAAAGATATTCAAGCAAACTCAACAGCATTTGAAAGGGAGAGGCTTCTTCTTTGAGATGATGCCTCAAATAGAGGCAAAAATCGCTAGTTCTGCACATTTTGGTTAGGATATGTCGAAAGCTAGAGTTTATGAGAGAAAGCAAAGCCAATTGGCGTAGCGGTAGAAGAGAGATAGATCGTCGCAGCGTCAAGCATGGACAATGTAGTCGGGGCAGCAGCACCCCAAACATGTGAGCAGTACCCCGGACCAGGTCGTACCTGGGATTTGTACAGAGTCATGTTGAGAAAAAGTACTTCTTGGCCCTAAACAAATCCTAGAGTTTTCCCGGTAGCTGCCGCTATTGACGAGATGTATTCGTGCCAGATTGGTAGAACTAGGTCATCCATCGAAACCGGATAAATGCTAGGACGCTTCGTGTTAGTAAAGGTACAGTACTGTGCTTTGGAAACATTTAACTGTACAGTCTGTGGAAACGAAAAGTTCACCAATTTTGGCGTGAAAAACAAAGGTGAAATCGCTCAAAAATGAACTAATCTCAATGAATATAACCCAGATCAAATTTGTTTAAACAGATATCTTTTAAATGAATTACTCTAAAGCTGACTATTTTCAAGTTATAAGCGATTTAATGTCTAAACAGCCCTAAAAGTGGGTATCTTAAGATCCTGGTTAAAAGTTATAATGTTTGGCCAAGTATCTAAATTCAAGTTTAAACCTTGCTTTACAAAATTCCGAAGAGTGTTTTGAAATTACTTCAATTTAAAGCGATTTTTAACTGTCTCATTGGCGAACTTTTCATTTTCGCAGACTGTACAATATTTGGACCATGGATTTAGAATCAGCGTAATAAAAAAAAGGAAAAAAGGTTTCTGGGTAAAGATTTTGTAGGCGTGCGTTAATTTTAAAGCGTTACCTAGGTAACACCTCCAAGGTATCCAAAGATATCTCTCCAGGCTGCCGATGTCTGGATGAAAGCCAACCAAACATGTCATATGGCTCAGAATTCTTTCTTTCATACGGGGCGCATCTGATACTTCCGAACGCATGATCCTGTATGCATTCTTCGTCGATCTTACTAGGATGTGGCGGAAACTTGAACAAAGGTTTGTACTTTGTACATTTCGTCAATCCAGGCAGTTGCTCGATAAGGTACTTTAACCCTTTGCTCTTCAATCCTAATACTTGGATAGGGTCGAAAGCAGATTTGTTCAAGGGCAAGGGAGGCATTTTATGGGCTTCCCTAGCCGCTTGGACTTCATCCAAGATCTTCGACCAGAGATCTGATACTGAAGTTGAAGTGTATTTGACACCGTCTTTAGTTTCTATTGTGTACAATATCGATCGTTTATCACCATCTTCTTTCTTGACACTGCTGCTGTTACATCCGAAAGTAATCTTGTCGTGTAAGTCTTTTTCTTTGCTTGCAGTTAGGTCAGGTTTGATGGGTTTCAGGGGAGCTACTTGAAGAGGTTTCGTCAGTAACTTGATGCTTGGTTTGTTTGAAAAATTGTTGCTGATTTTGTATGTACCGTCGGTACTTTGTTTTTGGAACACTATTTTCAAAGACGTATCATTTTTGGCTTCTGGTGGTGACAATGGAGGAGTTTCCACGGGAAACGGGTGTATTGGGGGTACTGGTGTAATCGGAGTGATATCTACAGAGCGAGGAGGTTCCGTCTGGAGTTTCTGTGCCGATTTTGAACATTCTTCGTTCTTTTTATTTTCTATCCTAGGTGGCATCGTTTCTATCACAGGCGGTTTGGAAGCTTCAATATCCAATTGAGACTCTTTCTTCAGCTGTTTGGCGTGTGGAGGTTCAAGTGATTCAACCTGGAAAAAAGCCTTAGCGTAATGTATGGAAAAATTGTACGCGGTGTTTCTGAAACATGGGATACGATTTCAGTGGGTGATTTTTTGGACGAAGCTTCCGCACAATGAAAATTCGGCTCAATATCATTATATATGTGTTTAACGTAGCATTCATTTTTAGTGCTTTACGGACTACCAAACACAATCCAGAAACTCGAAAAATAAAACAAAATATTTGCGTATTGTTTATTGTTGCATAACTTTAAGATTCGATAGAACTTTTAAAATTAATGCATAAAGTCTATATAAACATGGGTCGAAAAATGCGTGGCTTCCGAAATACAGGGTGTTTAAATTTACTTTCTAAAATAGTTTTTTTTAAATATTTCGAACAATATTTGATGTATAACAGTGAAAATTGGTATACAAGGGTTTTTTGGTACGACAAAACGAACCATGGGCATAGTTTTACTGTAGCCGCTAGAGGGCGCTCTCTACTGTACCTGTAGTGTATTAAAATCACCGAAAATTTTTTCTTAGGGCAATTTATTGCTTTTTGAATAAAAAAACTGATTCTTCGCACGTTTCAACATAAAAAAGCTCTCTTGTGAATTTTCGTTATAGTTAGCCGTTTTTGAGATATTTCGATTTTTAAGGTTCGATGCATTTTTTATTATTTATGGGAAAATAATATTTTTTTTACATTTCTGATTTGGGCATTACAAGAAATTAAGATGATCGTTTAGATTGTGTTTTTAAACACAGCAATAATTCCTAACTCCAAATAAACAAAAAAACAGAATATTAATTTGTTTAATTTTCCAATATTATTTTTAACAAATTAAATTAATTATTTACAACTAAAATGCTGTTGGATAGTTAGGACAAACATACAAAATCTAAAGTAGTTGCTCGAAATGTAAACCCAAACCCTGTCTGCGTATGAATGCATCTCTGGGACTCTCAATCTCGACTTATAGCAGCGAGAGATTCATTGCGAGAAAAAGCACGTAGTAGGTAATGCAATGTGCACATACAAGGTGGATGCGATAGTATTTATATACAGGGTGATTCACAAGGCGTGACCAAAAATGAAACATCATACACAAGACCGCATTTTAAGGGGGAGTCTGCTATGTAACGTTTTTTCCTCGAGGGCTTCATTAAATTTAAAAATAAAAATTGCAAAATTCCGCTACCTTTAACAAAAAATCCAATTCCGCCGCTACCACTTGAAATTTCTGCTACCAGTAGCGGAATTCCGCTACTTCTGGCAACACTGAGAGGAGCGCATTCCAATACCTTCCAACAACAAACGCCAACGTCACATGTGCTTGCATTAGTTTGCTCGGCGTTGGATTTTCGGTCTGTACACGGCTTAACGGCTACCGCAATTTTGAAATGATTAGAGCTATAGTCGATGGTTCACAGACAGAAAGAGATGAGCGATTTGAATTTTTGTAGTTTCAAAATCATAAAACGCCCCGAAAATTCTAGCGATACCTTCCTCCGAAAAATTTAGAAATCCATCAAAAAAATACAGGGATTGTCCGGAAAGTAATAGGACTCTACCGACTGGATTCGGTAGAGGGCGTTCCTAGCTAACGAATGAGCGGCTGGTCAGTTGTCTCCGAGCACTTGGAGAGTCAGGACAGGCATTTTCGCGCGACGTGTTTCTGTGAGTGGTGCAAGCCGAAAATGCAGCGTTCGTTAGAGCAGAGGTACGCGATTAAATTCTGTGTGAAACTCGGTAAATCTGCGACAGAGACGTTTGATATGATCAAGCAGGCTTAACCAGGTGTTGCTTTAGCAAGAAGTGGTGTGTTTCGGTGGCACCAGGCCTTTTTGGAGGGCCGGGAAGAGGTCGCTGATGAAGACCTTCGACTTCGACAAACACCGATAATGTGACTCGTGTGCGCAAAGTTTTGAACTCAGACCGTCGACTAAGTATTCGTTTAATTGCCCAGATGTTAAATTTACCAAAATCTGTGGTTCATGACATTGTGACACAGCATTTGAACATGCGCAAGATGTGCGCGACGATGTGCTCATTGACGACCAGAAATTGCGGCGAGTGGAAGTGTGCCAAGAAAATTTGAACATGTGTGAAAGTGACCCCGAATTTTTGAATAACGTAATCACAGGTGACGAGTCGTGGATCTTTCAGTATGATCCTGAGACAAAGAGGCAATCTTCCGAGTGGCACACGACGGCGTCTCCTCGCCCAAAAAAGGGAAGAATGAGCAAAGCCAAAGTGAAAACGATGCTTATTGTCTTTTTTGACATCAAAGGCATCGTCCACTATGAATTTGTTCCTACCGGACAAACCGTTAACGCCAAGTTTTACGTGGAAGTGGTCAGGAGACTCAAACGAAGGGTCAGTCGGGTCCGACAAGAGATCGCAGCCGACTGGAAGTTGCACCACGACAACGCCCCGGCTCACACCGCCTTTCTTGTGAACAGCTACCTGACCAAGGCCGGCATCCCAACGCTTCCGCAGCCGCCCTACAGCCCAGATGTGCCCCCCCCCCCGGACATTTTTTTATTTCCTTGCCTGAAAAGGACGATGAAAGGCAAGCATTTTGAGACGACAGAGGGGATCCAAACAGCATGCACCGCGGCTCTCAAGGCTATTCCGGAGAATGCCTTCCGTGACGCCTTCAATGTTTGAAAATCGCGCTGGCAGCGCTGCATCGACGCAGAAGGAGCCTATTTTGAAAGTTTTTAAAGAATTGTAACGATTGGCTCAATAAATTTTTTAAATCGACTCAGTCCTATTACTTTCCGGACAAACTCTGTAAGTGCTCTTCAACTAAACGCTATTTAAACCATCCTTATCATTGAAAGCCCAAATAATCACTCTGAGTCGTTGTTATAGAAAGGTAATAAACTCACCTGCATGGCTTTTGGTGTTCCCAAATCTTCAGTTGATTCATTGACGACTTCAAACGGCTTCGTAATAATCTCCACTGGTTTCATAGTCTCTGCAACCTTCTTTACAGCTTCCACAGATGTAACTTCTGTAAGTGCTCCTACAATTTCCACTGGCTTTGTTACTTCTAAGGGCCTCCTTGACATCTCCACCAGCTTAGTAACTTCAACGGACTTCCTTAGAACATCAACTGGCTTATTGATACCGTCTATTGTCTTTCTTATAACCTCTATCGATTTCTTCACTTCAGACTTCTGCAGAACCTCTACCTGTTTCTTAATGACCTCTATAGGTTTCTTTATAACATCCATCGCCTTCATGACCTCTATCGGTTTGTTCGTAACATCGATCCTCTTTTTGACTTCCTCCGAAAAGAACTCTTCGTCCGGTTTTTTCTCCTTGAGGATATTATTTGTAGGCATAGGCAAAACTCTGCTCATCGGCCTACTCTGTGATGTTGGCTTAGGAATAGGCGTAACTATATTAGTTGGGATACCCTGTTCCGGCACGAATGGAGCTGTAGGTAAAGTGATGCTGTTTGTCAATGTGGCAGGAGTTGCTAACTTGTGTGGCGTGATGTATTTTCTATTTTGTGGCTTGAACTGAATCTGTGACGCTTTGAGTTGTTCAGGATGAGGAATGTTCGACATGACCTGCCGAACCTTGGGTTTAGGGGCTTGCACTGGGGTTGGATGGGGCTGAATCACAGGCATACTGAGCTGCTGATGGCTGGTCGGTTGCGGAATTTGAGGCATACTTATTTGTTGAGGCACATTAAACTGAGGAGTGATGATCTCTTGTGGAGGTGGATGAATTTGAGGTTGCTGAACTTGCGGAGCTGGTGGAGGTTGAGTATTAACTACAGGTTGGACTTGAGTTTCAACCATTGGTTGTGGGTTGATGATCTGCGGAGTTATTATTTGTTGGTGTTGGTGGTTGATAACAGGTTGCGTACCAACCAATTGTTGAGAGCTGACGATCGGTTGAGAACTAACGATTTGTTGAGAGTTAATGATGGGCTGAGATCCGACCACCTGTTGAGAGTTAACCATCATTGGCTGAGTGTTGACCATTTGTTGAGAATTCATCATCGGCTGAGAGCTGACTATGGGTTGATTACTGACCATGGGATTAACTAGGACGAAGCTATTCGAAGACACGTCCAAGACAGGTTCCAGTTTACTTGTTTGGAAGACCTGAGTTGTTGTGGAGTAACTGCTATTGGCTGTTAGGATACCAGGCATTGTTGTAGGCAAAAACTGTTGAGATTGCATAACAGTGTTTTGGACTATGGTTTCGAAGCCATAGTATACTGGTTGAACAGGAGGTTGCTGAGACCAGCTCAATGTACCATTGCTATCAATAACTAACTGATTTTCCATTACTTTCGGTTGTTGAATATACATCGTCTGCTGGATGCCAGGAACTATACTTAACAAATTGTTGTCTGGTTGAATTTGTACTATTGACTGTGATGGTATCGTGTTGACTTGAGGCGCAAGTGTAGCTATATACTGTATATTCTGACTGGGCTGTTGAAAACTATCAACAAATGTAGGAACATAGTTTGCCGATACTAATACTTGTCCATTAGAACTTTGGGTCGGTAAAATGATGGTCTCTCCCTCGTCTATTCTTTTGGAAGTTATCGTTCTAGGTCTAGGTCTCGCTTTTATGGCTTTCTGAGCGACTAAAGTAGGTTTACTAACTGGTTTCACCCATGAAGCATTCTGAACATTCATTGTGGGCATCACAGGATTGATCAACTTTCCATTTAATGGTCCAACGTTTAAAATGGCGGGTTGGTTATAAGGCGCTGCCTGGATAGTCACCGTTTGGGACTGCTGGAAATCCAAAGGCTGCTGATTTATGGAGTTGAATGCTATGGGGTTTGGAGAATTTATAGCAATCGGAGTATTGGGATTTATCGAGAGTATCTGGTTACCCGCATGATTCACTTGCACCCCGTTTGGCAAAGTTATAGGTTGGTTTATGCATAAAGGTATATTCTGATTCACGCAGTACTGCGTTTGGTCATGGTGTGCTGTAGGTTCCAGAGCGATGGGTACCGTCTGTACAACGGGTTTCTGCTCAACGGGCGTGATTATCACATTTGAAGTCTGAGGCACTATCATTTCTGCCGTTGATTTGGACACCACGAAACTTTGCGTGTTGACCGAGGTATGGATTTCACTTTGATACGTCTCGTAGGATGACAAAACGACTGGTTGTTCACTTATCTCGAGCGTAACATGATCTTCTTCAACGATATTCGCGTTGGTGTATACGGACACGATGTCTTGCTCTTGTACAGGTTCTGAGTCACTTTCACTGGTACAAATCACCTCGCAAGAGTCTAAGTGGCGCTTATAACTAGCCTGAGTTCTGTAAGTACACTGGCATTTTTCACAAGTAACTGGCTCTTCAGGAACGTAATCCACCCAAAATGTCCTTGTAGGTGATTCACATTCGCTAGAGCTACTATCATCACAGTTGCCGTCGACTTGGAGAATTTGATACATCATGTTGTTTTCACGGGCGGTCATCATTTTTCTCTTCTTTATGGCTGGACTGAGGGAGCTGTCAAGTTTGCAACTGAGGGTGAGACTGCACGACCTGTTAAACGACAGATATTCTTAATGTAACATCCGAAATTCATCCCGTGGTTTTCATTTTGATAATCTCCCATGTCTGCCCGAATCGAACAACACATATGTTCAAGGTTCCTCTTTATTGTACGCCGCAAGGGGTGATTCACAAGTCGTGACCAAAAATGAGACATCGCATTTTACGGCGGTCTTAAAAATCAAAAAACATTTTTTTAACATCTTCAAAACCTTCAAATGGAGCTGAACTGAAATTTGGTATGTGTGTTTACCTAAGTATTGTCCACATTCAAAAGTATTTACTTAAAATTAAAATGCACCGGTGGCGGAGATACAGGGCATTATTTTCGTAAAAGAAAAAAAAAATTAGTAAAATTGTGGGTTGTCGTCTGTTAGGAAATCTACGTTAATACTCCCGAGAAGCCTCTAAAGCATTTCCATTATAGAACTCGTACACAAAAATGATATCGGCGTACTTCATCATTGCTAAATTGCATTTTAGAATACTCAAAAATAGAAAAAAAAATTGGGCATTTTATTTTTATTTTTACGAAAACAGTGCACTCTAGGAAAAAACACAAGAGTAATTATTTTTAGCAAATTGAATGTAAAAGTAGAAAAATTGCGCGTTTCGAAAAAAAAAAACAGTGGTGTGCTATTTTTATTTGGAAAAATAATGCCACTAATCCCCTTGTATCTCCGCCTCTGGTGCACGTTCATTTTAAGTAAAGACTTTTGAATGTGGAGAATACTTAGGTAAATCCACATACCAAATTTTAGTTCATTTCAGTTAACGATTTTGAAGATCTTAAATAAAATTGTTTTTTATTTCCAAACTTCAACACCCCGTATCTTTTTAATGAAGCACTCGAAGAAAAAATATTAAATGGAAGACCACCCTTGAAATGCGGCCCTGTGTATGATGATTCATTTTCGGTCACGACTTGTGAATCACCCTGTATACCAAGAGAAACTACGGCAATGATTTAAGAAATTTTTTTGGGAATAAACTGTTCCGAGGTATACACACGTTTCGCGCACAGAAAGCATCTTCCCTAAGCTTTGACAATCCATCATATGAACACTTTAGTCTAAAATCCGGCCGCTTGAATCTGCAGGTATCTGTTTTTGCTACAACTTTATTTTTACGAATGATAAATAATAGTAGAATATATGCATGGTTGCCTTTGTTAGGTCATCTATCGTTTTTTACTTTACCAGACACGACGCCCTCGTCCATCGTCCCGAAAACGCCAAATGTTATGCAACCTTCGATTAAAATGGATATCGGATCCCAAACTTGCGGTTTTTCTTCGCCATCTGTCATATTATTTCCTCATAAGACAAACAACATGGATTCGATGTCGAAGCACTATTTCTCGCATTTCAAATCCATAAACAATGCACATGCAGCATTTTGGTCGGAGACGGGGGCTTGTGGTGTTTTCGGGGACGAGAATGATGTGTCTGGTACATTAAAAAACGACAGATAACCTCATGCTCGCTTGTTGCTTTGGGGGCTGGACGTCCATTTGGGAACAGGTATGCGTACCCCAGGCGGTCCAGAGTTTTGCTGGTTTTGTTACAGGACCTTTCATAAGTAACACACTGTACAGAAATGTGACAATGAACGAAAAAAATAAACGAAGTGTCACCTGGAAGACACATAAATAAAATATATTGTCAAAGAAATGTCACTGTACTTGAAGATAGTCACTGTTGGGACCAAAACATCGTACAATAGAGAGCAACTTTAAACATGTAACAATAATAAACATCTTTTATTGTGATTTGATTTTTTCAGGAAAATATGTAAAAAACGCCGAGTTCTTCTTACCTTTGCGTAGGCCGAAGTTTATTTTGCTTCAGATCTTTCTTCTTGACATCCTCGACGTCAAAAAAACCATCGGAATTTTGGATTTCATTTTTAAAATCGATGTTGACAATCTCCTCGCACGACAGCTTCGGAAAAATATCCTGCACGGATATCCCATCCAGCAAATCATGAGGCAACTCTTCCAATATGGCGTCGGTTAATTCCGGCGATAAGATATCAGCGCCATTTTGTTGTTCTTCATCGTCTTCCGACTCGCTATCCGAGCTTTTCTTCTCTATGTCTTTCTGCCACGTGTAAAGTTCCCTCATGATTTTCTCCAAGGCTGTCTTTTCTAACGTGTGGTCAATCGTGAAGTTCCGATTTATTGTGACGGAACTATTATTCGAATGTTGAACCGAGGTTGATATGGTGTAAGGTACCAGTTTCCAAGGTTCTATGGTGGACCAAAACAATCTGGTACACACGAAACCAATTGGTATGATGGAATCCACGCAATCTGATACCAAAGGTTCTATTCTCCCAAGATGTTTGACATAAAGCGATCCGACCATAAAATGAACTTTTTCTATCTCGGCGAGCTGTTTTCTATCAGGACATATCTCTACATAGAGCGATCTACAAATCATGAAATTCGTGATGGTGCATTTCTTGATCTCATGACTGGAGCAGTAGACAGTCTTATCACGCATGAAATTAACTCTTGCTATTCTGGCACATTTAAAATGGTATGTGTCATGACATCCTTTGTAATAACAGTCTACACTGGCACCTTTCAGCTTACAATGGGAACATCTGGAAAAGATGTGGATAAATCTCCATGCTTTTCTGGAAGCTAAATACACTTTATTGTATCAAATTTATATACAGTTACAAATGGCGAAGCCTGGCCAATGGCCATTCATATTTAACCATGTCAAGCTTATTATACTATAGGTCAATATAGAAGCAAAATGATAACAAACTTAACTCTCTATAAAATTGTTTCTATTCCTTTTTTACTAGGATCGATGGTTTTCGAGACTTTTGATCAAAAATTGTAGGATTTCCTTATACAAAATCTCCATATTTTTTGGCCTTACATATAAAGAAATACAGGGTGGCCAATATACAGGGCGACTTCGAAGTTGAGTCATTTATTTTAACAGTGAGTAGATCTGATCAAAAGAAATATTTTTTTCCTTTACCATTTTTCTGGTAAAATTAAAGTAACAACGTTATAGCCCTTTGGAAGTTTGAGTACCGCCCTGTCTCAATAATAATATTATGTGCTCGTGTTTGGCGACAACGGATATAATTCGCCTTATCGGTTCATCGCATCGGAAACAAAAAAGCGAAAGAATTTGGAACGATGTTTTTACAATTATTTCATTCAGTTGTATACAGTCAGTGTCAGTCGGTAGTGGATAGTGGTGTCTGTTGCGTGGCTCAAACGAAATAAAAAATGGCACATGTTTATGCGGATCGGTTTCCCAATCGAGTGCAACCAACCCCTCGTGCCTTTGTTAATGTAGTACAACGGGTTCGTGAATCATTTGACTTAACACCTCACATATGGACGGCATGCCGGTGCTCCAAGACCTCACGATCAAATACAGGTCCGCACTGAAATACTTGTCGGGAGGATACTTTATAAAATAAGGTAAACATTTTTTTAGAAGTTTCAATAAAATAGTAAGCTGAAAAAAATTGACGAATTTTATTTCATTTACAGATACATATCGGCCACCCTGTATTAAAGATATCAATGATATTGCATGAGCATTAGTGATAAGCAACTAAAATTCGCCAAAGAAACTCACCTAGTCATTCTACTTCTATTTAAGGCAGCATGGACATTTTGAAGCGAATAATCCACGTTTTCGAAAACTTCGGTGGACCAAAAAGCACAGTTAGCATGCACCCACTCGTTCTGTCCACAGTATATGAGCCGAGATTCTTGAGTATTTTCTCCATCACCTATACCTTTGCAAAACCCGCATATTCTGGTGTCGCTCATTATAGAGCAGGTGATCTCGGATATGTCACTCTCATCGTCTTCATCTTCACTTGAGATGCTCAGACTGTCAATCGGATCATTTTCAGCTTGGATCTTCTCATACCAGGGAAATACTTTTTGGAAGATGTTATTGTAAATGTTCAGCAATTCTTCTGAACCGAGTGTCTTCAAAAACCAGTTAACGTCGTTATTGAAATCTTTTGTGGTTTTGTACTCCTTGAAATTAAGCTTATTTTTGATATCACTTATTGTAACTGCGTTGTCTGTTGTCTCTTTACTACCATTGTTATTGTCTGTATCAGTATCACTAGATTGCATCCCTTTCAATCTATGCGATTCGACATTTGAATAACTAGATTTTAATAGATCCCTAGCAGTCTGTTTCATTAATAGAAGTCTAGTGACCTCACTGAAGCACCATATCAGTTCTTCCGTTATCCTTTTCTTCCATATAGTCCATGACTCTTTTGAACATACTGAACATACATATTTGATGTCACCAGGAAGTACGCATGCTATTTGGTACTGCTCCGGCGTAAGATTTTCACATTTTGAATGTTGCCATCTTGAACATTTTGAACACTCCAACACCTACAACGCATTACGAAGTGACAGAATCAAGAGCACCCCGTAATATTGAATTCATTATAAAGGTAGTGGAGTTTGTGATATCGCCTGTTACAAAGAATATTCTAATTCTAATACATAGAAAATATTTATATTCCTTGTACCACTGACTTCGTAATGTGTACGAGAGAGATAGAAGCATCTTGTTGCCTAGCAACCAGCGATACATATTGCACGCTTCTCTCTAATACACACTACGACATCAGACAAATTTGAACTTCACCGTATACGCAGAGTACACGAGTAGCGTAGAAATTGGACAAATTTGAGCACTTCAGAGGGAAAAATCATTTCTACGACACTGATTTTTTGAAACATCTATCGCATTTTTAAATAAGGCATGCCATTTTATATAAATTGTAAATTCTTTATTAGACGATATTTGATTAAATATCTGAGGTCATAAATATTTTCTACGCCACTGTCTTCTCTGAAATTTATTTCTGAACTAAATGTACAGTCACAAACAACAACTACAACACTTACTCGTAAATTAACTTCCTTTTCCTCATATCTATGGTTACATATAGAACAAAAATTGTCTTTTCTTCTCAGCTCAAAACACGCTGCACAGAACGGGATATTACCTATAGTTATTTCTGTACTATCTCCTCTGCAGTTTTCACATTTCGTACATTTTGAACACATCTGCAAAAAAATTGATGTCCGTCAGGTATATCCACGAAACTGAAGTAATTATCGTAAATGCCAAATATCGAAGTATGAGCTGTTTGCGGTTGTAATGATTGCAATTCTGTGGCAAATAGTTAAAAGAGCATAAGCCATAAAATCAACTTGTGGCTTTTTTACCAAGGAGGCTATACGAATTTTATCGTGTCCTTAATCTTTATTGTGATTTTTATAGCCTTCTCTTCTTATTTTTTTAAAGTACACGACTTAGATTTTTCTTATATTTGGCCTATCCCCGGTTTCCGGCTTGAAGTCGACGTCTGGGACACCTTGTATAAAAAAATGCGTTTACAGGTGATAAAACCAATCATAAATGAAGTTTACTAATGGAGAGGTCAAAAGAGCACAGAGGGAAACAGATGTACAATACCATATTTTCAAATTTACCAACCTGAGGGATGACTTCGAAAAATATAAAGAAAAACGTAACAAAGTTGTTGCTCTTATAAGATCAAAACAAAAGCATATACAGCATATGCTAAATGCATTAAATTTTTTAAACATACACCAAATTATTCAAGAGACAAATTTAATTCTTTTATAAAAAATTATCAATAATCAGGCTCCACCTTACCTTGAAAAGTTTCTAAAAAAAAGATATGAAATGTAAGGTTACGACATTAGATCAAAAGGAAATTTCCATATTCAAAGATTTAGATTTAAAGGTTTAGAAAAGTCAATGTTCGTTGAAAGTCTAAAAATGTACAACGATCTGCCTATTAATGTAAAAACATCTAGTAGTGCTAAAATTTTCAGAAAGAGACTTCGGCGAGACAATTTTGGTTTGATGTGACGACCTCTTTGTAAATTTAACATATAGTATATATAATAACAAATTTACCCTTTTTTTTTGGTAAATAATATTTATTATTGTTTGAAATAGCCTAAAGCTAAATAAATCCTTTCTACTCTATTCTAAAAAATTATAGCTCCCTAAAATTTAACCAAACCAAAAGGAATATTTAGAAACCTACAAAAATCGATGTTTTCAAAAAAGTTGAATCCCTTCAGAATTTTTCTTGGATATGCCCAAAAATAAACGAGAACTAAAATATTGATCAAATAACAAAACACAATGAAAACTAAGACAGAAAAAATATTTTTATCTTACAATTAAAAAATCTTCTTACTAGCTTTGACAGCTAACTTCATCAAAATTTATATTTTGTATTGTCTCGTGTTCGATGGCTAATATACCAAGACTGGGTCATTGTTGTTCGCAAATAGTTTTTCATTAATTTTAGTTTACTGAAACTCCTTTCACATGAAGCTACGGACACTGAAACCGTCATGAACCAGTTTTGGTGCAATCATAAGATTTGGAAGAGATTCTGTAAAATCCCATTCTACAATAAACTTTAAAAAATCTAGAGATATCCAATCAGAAACTGTAATGGCTTTTAAGTGTCTTCCCAGTCTTGGTATCTCCAAAAGTAATTCTGTTTCTGAGACCTCATCATTAAAATCAGTAAATTTGGATGTAGCTAATTTCAGTTCTTCAGTATTTGCCAAAAGCAAAGTATTTGTTTGTACGATCTCAAACAATGAACCTGGGTCTTGAAGAGACTTCGATCTTGTCTAAAGTTCATCTTGCTATGCCACTGCATGTATATCAAATGTCTTAACTTTGTTTCAGCAGTGATACTACTACTCAGGCCTTGCCTTACTTCGCATCTATTCCCATAAAAATATTTTCCTTATCTACATTTATTTTCGATATTGTCATAGTTACATTATAAAAATAAAAAATTAAGCGTGAATTGGTTATAACTTCCATCCCTGTCGATGAAACATTCTAGATAAAACTAACGCTGGGTCTAACCAAGACACCCTGTATACGATGTCAAGCACTTTTCTCAGTTTAATATGTCCAAAAAAGTTGTAGAAAGGTGGCGTTGGAATTTTTTTACCAGCGAATATCTTTCGGAAGAGTTCGACACTCGTCGCAGTCGTTCCGTCGTCTCTGAAGTGCGATGTTCTTCAGAAAAAGTTGTCGGTATTACTCGCCAGTGAAATGTGCCTGTTTTCGCGTCGCGAAATTTCGGTTTTGAGTGACTTTCTACTGATAATTATGAACATTTTCCGATGCTTCTAGTTCCTGTGGAAAGATGCTGTCCACTCCCACTCTCGGTAAGTTTTGAATTTGAATCTTCATACTGACCTGACTTACATATCGGAATTTTCTTACTGGGAGACAGATTTACAACGATCTATTGATTTCATTGGATGATCCATAAATTCCCAGTTATCCTAATTTTATTAGGTGATTAAAAACGCCCCCACAAAACATCTAAATGTCATTTTGATAGAAATTTTTCGGTTATGCGGTTGACGTTGACGTAAAAGTGTATAAAGGTCCGACAAAACGTGTACGGAAGCAGATCGTTAGAGATACGACAATCCAGTATTTTGTTTCCACAAATGTTTAGCTGTATTGTAAATGTAGAGAGATAAAAAATATGTAATTATGCATAAATAAAAGCATTTCCGCGCGTGATAGCGGACTATAAAATTTTCTCCCATTTCGGTTACGGCCTGCGCAGGGGTATAATCTATAATACTCTATTTCAAGAGTATCCATCTAGGGATGGCAATTTTTTAGAAAACATCGATGTTTGGACATCGACAAACATCGCCATCGATATATCGATCTATCCAAAACAACCTCTTTTTAACGTTTTCTGTTTTCAATTCAGCAACGAATTCACTGTTTTAGCGGAATGGTCATTTTATGCGTTGGTAGAATTCCCACGGCGTTTTTTCTCGATTTCAGAACCATTAAGTAAGAATAAATAATGCGAGAGCAACTTCACGGCAGGATAAAACGATGTCGGCTGCAATATATTTCAGTAAAAAAGTATGATTATAGGAAACTGCAACATATGAGATTGTCAAAATTAAGAACAGATTGATGAGCATTAAATACTGTGCACAAGTTGGATGTTTAAAGTACTTCTATAGATCACTTTTTCGTGACTACATATAAAAAATTATCAGAGGAACATAAAATCATTAAATGCGTAAATGAGGTGTTTTCAGTTTATGTTATTCTATCCCTTGGGGAAATACAGAATAAAATAAAGACTACAGTCCGTCTCTCGTCTGTAATGATAAAATTGAGATACTACTAAACAGCTTTCTGGCCTTTCAATTTGGAAGCTACCAGTCGTCCTCGCTTGGACATGGTAGCACAGTTAAGGATATACTCAAGGTATACTGATGTTTACGATCCTTTCGATGTCGATACATCGTCATAAAACCATCGATGTTCTACGTCCGATGTATCGATGTTTTTGATACATCGATGTATCGTTGCCGTCCCTATAATCCACCATGCTTTGACGTATACTGAGGTGAACAGCTGATAATAGGGCCAAAGCAATGACTAGTTCATCAAAGCATGAACATACGATTATAAAAAATCTTGCCAATTCCATAGTTGTCCATAACCCGTTCCTCTAGACGCCACAAGGTGTGATTCAGCTGTTTTTTAAATTATCCTTGCAGCAATAAAAGCAAAACGTGAAAATTTTACCACAAAATGAGGCAACTTTTGTCTAAAGGAAATAATAGATTTTGAAGTAGCAGTGCTGAGATTACGCGGTAATTAAAAAATCAATACATGGACAACAGGACTGACAAATATGAATGACGTGCATTTTCGTGATAGGGAAATGATGGAATATTAAAGTAGATCAGTTACCTTAAAAATATTTTCACTGGGCTTCGTGTTCAAGCATTCTTCATGAAAGGCTTTTCTACATTTTATGCACCTAACTTTTTCTTTTTCCACACTGCCACAACCATCACAGGTTGAGCATCTTTCACAAGTCCACAAGTTTTTACACATAGTAGATACTGGCAAGTTTACACAAAAGGAATGGAAGGACTCGCAGCAGACTGAGCAGTGGACCACTGTTTCACGGCCTGCACTGCCACATAAGAAACATACTGACTGCATGGGGAACTGCTTCGAGCCCATAAGGCAGTAGCCATTTTTGATGATATAATTAGGTTCATTAATCTCATGGTAGTCTATAAATATGCCATTTTCAATATCTAGCTCTGGATCAACTGAATTCCTCTTCTTTTCCGCTAACCGTCCCTAAAACATATATGTCTATAACTTTCCCTGTATCCATATAAATGTATAGAGTGTCAAAAATAACAGGAATAAGAAATACAGAAATTATACAGGGTGCTTCTTTGTCCAATATTTCTCAGGACAATTCCTTAGGTTTTTCTTCCAAGACAAATTGTTTATATAAATATTGGAATGCAAAACTGTTGTCTTTGAGATACAGTATGTTCTACACCAGTGGTGTAGTTTGAGTCACAAAGTTATTGTTTTTATTACTATGCTAAAGGTTGGTTTCTTTTTTAAATTGGTATCAAAACTACACTCTTCAATAATATGTAACACTTGATACTTTATTCAAAAAAATACATCTTCTGATTATTTATGAAAAACAATTTCACTTAAATGGCTGCCATAGCTGGCCCGGCAGTAGACCATCCTCTTAACCCAATTTTCAAGCACATTTTCGATAGTTTGTGGGTCTATTTCATCAATAGCTCGCCGGATATTTTCTTTAAGAACATAAATTGCTCGAGGATCGTTAGTGTAACAGCGGTCCTTAACAGTACCTCACATTAAGTAATCCATGGGCGTCAAATCACAGCTGAGGCCACAAAAAACTCCTCAACATGTCTCTATAGTGTCACGCTGTTATCATCTTCATCTTGAAAAAAGCATGGACCAATAATCCCACCACTCCAGAAGCCACACCAAACAGTTACTCTTTTTGGATGTATGGTGATTTGGCGACCAAAATTCGCGTCCGTTTCTAATTGATTTAGAGCCCACACAAAGAAACGATATCAAAGCGGATGATCATTTTGTTTCAACTCTTGCACAAGTCGCACCTTGTAAGGAATTAATCCCAGGTTGTTATGCAACAGAAGTGCGACTGATGCCCACTTGTACTCTGTGACGAGTTGGCGTTTTCACCCATACTCTGGGCAACAGCAGCAATGTTTTCTGCTGTATGTACGGGTCGAACACGCTCACACCTTTTGTTATCCACAAGCAGGCCTGCTTCACGAACCATCTTCACAAATTTTCGTATACCAGTCGCAGACGGAGCTTCATTCCGACCAAATAGTCTTCTCAATTTTCGCAAAGTTTCTGCAACACAGCCCTCACTTTGAAAATAGTTTTTCAATATTTCCCACCTTGTTCAAGATTAAAGCGATCCATTGCTCACAGCCAAAGTTTGACACAATATATCTGTCAATATGTTGAACATGGAAGTGTTACCAACTGACAAAATAATATTAACTTGAAAAAAAAACCAACTGATGGCCCAGCCTTTATTAGTACAGCATGTACAAAATTTTAAGTCAGTACCATTTTTGTAATTAAAATTTCAGTACACTTCATCTAGATAAGGGGATACTTTTGACCTATGTTAATTGGACTCTTTGATTTGAAAACCCTGCAAAATAGACACTTCTTGAGAAATAACTGGAAAGAGCACCTCATAATCAATGTTTATATGAAAATGCTCCACATTTTAACATGCCCTTTAATTTTTCAACATTCTGTACATGGGTAAAGGATTAATAACTTAAAGACTACAAATGAATTAGTATTTTTGGGGCTCAAAAATGTCACATATCATTCTTTAAAATAAGTAGGACTTCAAAATAAATACTGGTTGCAGTTTATAAAACTCATTTGAGTATCAGCTCAAAAATATCTGGATTTTAAGAAATGAAAATAAGATGGGATTCTTTCAAACTTAGATTGCTCCTGAAATATGTGTTTACCACATCTAAAAATGATAGGGCACTAAGGTCAAAATGATCATGCACTCTTAAATGCTTGCTCATATAATTTGGGTTGACCAAGTAATCAAAAATGATGACTTACCTCACTGCAACTGTAAAGATTTGTCAAGTTTCTATATGACTTTTCCCTTCGATTACTGTTTTCTAGGTCACTAGACCCACTCACTTTTGAAAGTTTATCACTGCATGTAGATTCAGTTTCACTCTGTGCAGTACTCCCTTTTCCATGATCTAGTGAATTTTTATCACAATTTGGACTTTCATTCTTTTCTTGCTGTTCACATTTCTTATCTCCCTCAGTGAATGTGGCTATCGGCTGTCCTAAGACTATTGATGCACTCCTGCATACATGTTTGACTCTTGGCCCTCTCAGGTCAATTTTCTGCCTATTGATATCCGATGTAGGAAGTTGCACAGTCACTGGATTAGCTGGTTTAGGATTCTTCATTCTGAGGGAGCGCTTTTTTATTGTTTCACCCTCCTTTGGTTGTTCAAGCAACACATTCGATTGCCACGTTAATGTAGTTAAACTATTGTTAAAAATGCTCTGCATGTCTTTTGGTAACATCATAGTTAAACCTTGTTTTAAAGAAGAAGGCATATGGAACGTCCTAAGGCACATTTTCAACCAACATGCTGAGCAACGGGCTTTGTAAGCACATTTACTGAGCTTACGTTGTTGGCTTCTCACCACAGAAGATACATGGCACATTCCCTGGCCTTTCTGACAAACTAAAGGAGATTGAGCATTTTTATTACCACAGGATGATCGTTTAATCATCTTGGATATGAACTTTCTGCACGACTCACAGCTGTAGATGTTGAACTTGCGAGCTTGTTTAACAAACCTATAATATCTGACTGCTCCACATACTCCACAAGTTACTGTACCAGGTGGAAAACTATTGGATTTTGTGGAAAAAGGACCTTGTGTACCAGTATGGTTAGGAAGCTTAAGTCTTGCTTGTCTCAAAACTACTTTATGGCCATTTGTGAAAGCTGTCTTCTCAATATCACATTTCTGTTCACTGATAAAGCTGCCCATTGTCTTGGCTTTGTCTTCATCTTGTCTTTTTGCAACACTCATTCGTCTTTTCAAAGTAACACCTTCATTCATATCACTTATAAAGCGTTTATTCGGTTTTATCACCCTGGAAGAATGCACACTACGAGTTGGCAAAACAAATTTTCCAACTAGATTTGTACTTTCCCTGCATGTCTTCGAGAAGTTGTGTAGTGTCTTGCATGACAAATTTGATCTTTTTGAAGACATCTTTGACAGTAAATTTCTTTTAGTTGCATTTTTGTTTCTGATAGTTTTTATGTCCCTTGTCAGTCTTCTGGTTAGTGAAACTTTAGGAGTATTTTCACTGGGAGCACTTTCACTATCACTATCATTCACGTCGTCATCCTGAAACAAAATCTTTTTTAATAAGATCGTATTTACTAAATATAGCCGTGCTACTACCCAAATATCTCAAACATAGGCTTCTTTTGTAAAGCAATTTTGATGCTTGATTTTATCAATGTACGGTAGTTTCTTTCGTATTTTATCGTGTGTATTTTTATTTTTAGCAGTCTTTAGTAGCAATTTATCCAAAAAGCTTAATAAGAAATTTGAATAAAGCTTTACATAAGCGTAATGTTTACCTGTTTGTTTTCTTCAACAGATTTAACTGTCACTGGGTTACCGAATTCAATATTAAGCATATCCCCAGAGGGAGGAAGCACATTTATTCGTTTTCGATGTGTATGTTTTGAAGGTTTCCCCGGAAATTTTGATCGGCCCATTTTGCTTTTCTTTGTAAAATCACATGTTAGTTAAATATACACAATTTTCAAGACATCGTGTATGATTTAGCGCAGAATGGCGTAGAAGAAACAATCACAAAACACGGCATTCGTTCCATTCAAACAACAAACCAAAACGTCCGTCCCGGAACATAGACAGTGACTAAATGTCATTGTCTAAGATTTTGTTGTTCTACGATCTTTTATGATAAGCATATCCGTTTATTTTTTAATCTAGGAATTTGGAATTGGAGCATCGTAGCTATTGCCTGCTCAACTAATCCTTGCATTCTTGCATTCCCTAAGAATTATCCACGTATTATCGTTGAACGATGAGGATTATTCAAAATTATATGCTTACGTCCTCCCTCTCTATGGGCAGCGTCACCTTTGTGTACAAGCCTGAACTAAGTCACTGCGAATGATTCAAGCGCCATCTGCTGACGGCAATGTAATCGAAAGTGATATCATGTTACTACGACCATGAACTAAAATTACAAGGGCGTAGCCAGGTTTCAGTTTCGGGGGGCGGGGGGTTATGAAATAAAATGACAAAAATATGCACCAAATGACAATCTTATTCATTCAAAAAAAGGAAAATGTATTTCAGAGAGAACGCGCTGTTCCATCCCCTTGCCTGCCATTATATACCTCGAAGTTTTGATCTAATTTAATATTATAAAATTGTCTGTTTTTCTTTTTAAATATATACACTACTTCGTCGGCATCGATTTCAGTCTCATAGTGAGTGTTCAAAAGGGCCAAACCGTTCAGTATGTTTTCACTCGTTCTGCGCTAATTGTTTTTCAGTCTCCTTAGCTTGAAAAAGACTGACAAGTTTCAAAATTAATTGAGACGTTTTCAAAGACTTCCGAAAAAAATAATTTTGATTTGTGCGTGTAATTTCAAAAAAGTCTGTCACCAGATAGCAGTTTGCGTCTTGATAATGAAATAATAATAATGTGTGCGTCTAGCGACAGTACAGCATTGAAGCTGCTTTAAGGCTTTTGACATATTTTTCAAGCGATATCTATCAAAAGTCAGGCTGTAGCATTGTACTGCCGTTAGACGCGGTTTACTATCTCTGGATGAGAAGGGCAAACAATAGCACAAATCTTAAAATGTAAGTGGTACCTCAAGACGCGGCAACATCGTCTGACATTTTGCCGACGTACAAAGGAAGCACACGTCAAACGGTTTCTACCCTCTTCTTCAGTCAGCTGCGGCGCGGAGAACTTTATGAGAAATTATCAGTTATCCGACCTCTCTCAAACTCGGAAAGTTGATTAAAATTAGCGCTTTTGCGAACTCTAGACATGATAATGCAATGAAACAAATCGAACCAAGACAGAAAAATCACTGAATATTAAGTAAACATGTGCATATTGTTCGGATCCTGATATGACAAAAAAAGTACGGCTTGGAATGCCTTCAACATTTTATCAGCGAATACTTTCATGATAGCAAATATGTTTTTATCAAGATTCAACAACAATTCTAGGTACTGCATTTTATATGTCTCTTAGTATATTAAGATCAGGGGACCTCAAATGTCCCATTCTACCACTGAAAATAGGGTTTTGCAATACTTCAACATACTACGGTTTTGCAATACTTCAACATACTACGGTTTTGCAATACTTCAAAATACTACGGTTTTGCATGGAGAATCTCTGTCAGTTTAAAGGCCAACTATTAACAAACATTTTCAAGGATTCTTGTAGATCTGCATCTCGACCAAAACTCGCCTGTTGGGGGTACGGAATATGAGAAGTTTGGAATGAAAAAGCAGTTACTGCAATAAATAATTTTATTCATGTATCAACAGTAAGAAAATTACCTACCCTAAAAACATAACAAAACCTATCTACACGTATTTGGTACACACTAAATATACGTATTAATAAATTATCTGGCATTTTGGACATTCTAAATTATATTATACATAAGCACCATCATATCATGTAGCTTTGAGTCAACACAATTTACAAAAAACTTATACACTGAAAAATTACCCAAAATCACCGCAGTGTTCAGAATCATACAGTGCTTTTCGAAAAGGTCTCCCCGACTTTTGAACGGTCAAGGCTAGCAAGCCGAAATTCTTGGTGATGGAATTCATGCATAAATATTATATTTTAGCGTAAAAATAGCAGGCGAAAATTTCAAGATGGCAGCTGGGAATATTTTTTTAATATGGAATGTGGGGTTTTGACCTTGCCCGCCATTTTGATAGCTACTGAGTTTATATTTTAGGGTTATAAATTACAGATACGGAGATTCAAAACACAAACTCCATTCTATGAGAGCATGTTTGAAGATGGCGCCCAACTGTCAATTTTACGTTCAAAAAAGATGGCAGCTTTTTGAAAATCACTGTATATTATAAGTTGGACCATCAACACTTGAGCGTAAATACACCTTTCGATGCATTAAAAATGTGTTGTAATGGTCCAGATTACATAATATCCGTTTTACATTAGGCGTTCATACATTTAAGTCCTAATTATTAAGTCATTCATAGTAAGCGGTCATAATAATTTCATGAATTCTTCAACAGGAGTTGATACAATTTAAATAGCTATAAACTAAACATGATCTCGTTCGTCAGACAAAAAAGGCAGTCAACCACGGACAGCTATTTCGTGCTTCTTAGGATGGTCTATAGTAAAATACCAAAATTGATGACAGTAGCGAAACTCATCGTACCACACTGCTATTACGTGGAGGCCTTTGAAAAGGCAGCGCCTCTTTGTGAAATGTCAAAGCAGTGGCGCACGATGACTTCTGCTACTTTCATCAATTGTGGTATTCGACTATAGGTCTGGTCTATCTTCTCTGGGACAACCAATGAAGGCATCGCAACTATCCTCTTTCCAGAAGGTATGGTCTATCGAAATAACCCAAGTGCCATCTATCACCAGAATCGATCGCTGCGGAGAGCGAATAGTTGCTATTTGTTCACGTTTAAAAGCCCAGTCACCATGTGACCGCCAGATGGCTGACGATTCTATCTGGTGGGACAAACGAAAGCATCATGCTCAGCTTATTCAATGGCAAGTAGAGCACATCTACTACCTAGCCAGTTCCAACAAATAGCAGCGGTCTCCGCAGTGGTCGATTCTGGTGATATGTGGCGCTATTTCGATACAAATATCAATGATTTGAAATAAACTCACCCCAAAATGCTCTTAGGGGACGATCTGAGTTTCAAATAGGCACTTCTAGACTTCAAGAAAAGGGTTGTGGTATCCAACGCACGTGATTATGAAAGAAAAACCGAATTGCAATTTTTTTTTACAAATACGAGGCTTTTGCTTTGTGTACCTGGACTACAAAAGTGACCGTGGTCAACGAATGTTCGATGACTCCATTATTAGGATGATCTAGGATTATGTAAGGTGTGGTTTTTCGCAATTTTATAAGTACATTCGTTTCAGTTCCCCGTAAATAAATTTTCAGCAGGATAACAGCCAATTTACGTTTTTAATTATAATCTCGTTATAACGCGCACCGTTTTTTCATCGACTGCAAACGACCAGTTGGAAAAAATGAACTTTCAAGGCTGAAGCCTGCCGCGTAAAGGATTGTGCTTTTTTATTTCATATTTATGCGGGGAAACAACTGTGTACATAGAATCGGTATTACTGGCTTTCCTTATAAGTGCATAACTATCTTTTTTTAATATCTTAATTCGATAAGAACACGTGTACCCATATTCTTCCTTTACGATAGTGTTAGTTCTGGTCTGTGCTTTTTATTTTATATTAACGTTCCCAGATGGACAGCCGGTAACTGACTTTTTTCTCAGCTATAGTTGCCATAGTTATAAAATATTGCAGGGGCTCCTTAAAATTCTTATATTATCATGTCTTTATTAAAGTTACATTTTTCTGATATAACCCCTTCACCCACAACATTTATATCACGTCATTCCCTACAGTTCACATTTCAGATATAACAATTTCAGATTCTTATGTTGAATGAGAAGATTCATGTTTGATTAGAAAACCTTACCTCAGTTCCAGTACATATTTAAAATCGGCAACAACCTAACTTTCAAATCATTCATATGCAAGGTTACTTGCTTCATTACTATTTATATAAATATTTAAAATGTACAGGAATCCTATAAAAATGAGCAAAACAAGAATCTGTGCACAATATCATTGTACACTAGTAGACAGTTAAAGTGGACACTGAAAAGCAGTTTTAGATTGAAGTTTGAAAAAGCTTTAGAAGTGATGAGCCCGAGTTTGGAGTTGGAGAATTCACTTATCGACTACCCAGTGCCTAACCATACTTGCTCATTAATATAAACAAGGTTGATCTTTTAATGGTTAGTTTCAGTGTCCATCCTTAACTGTGTCGCGGTTGTATTAAGTCAAACCAAGATTAACAGATGGTTACATAAATTGTCCATTCCATATTGTTTTCCGGTATATGGAAAATGATGCGGTTTACTTTCTAATACCCCGGTTTGTAGCCGTCGATTATACTAGCTACCATAAAAAATTCCTTCACTAAGCACACTCGCCACACAAACATCAATTATAAAAATCGTGAGTTTTTATTACCGAAGTTCGGAAAAACCTGTTGCATTTTCATTTCAGCCAAGAAATGATATGAGACTAATTAATAGTTATGTATGTGGGACAAATTATAGTCCAGGACAATTATATCTGATCACGTAGAAAAACTCAAGGACAGTCCAAGTAATATGTAAGCACTGAAGGGGGCGGGGGGTCCTCGCTTTGTTTATCTTTGATGACATGAGGGATGGGGGTTTCTGGATGGTGACTACGTCAGCAATATTTGTTTTTTTTTCTACAAAATTTAGTTGTGACACATGGCAACCCGGCTTGTCTAGTCGCAAAAGCCTCTTCAGGGAGTCCCCAACTCGCTAAGAACCCTAGCTACAAATGCTCCAGGTAGAATGAAGTATAACCGAATAGAGCGCAGAATGGTTCCTTAGTCGGGGACTGGCTGGTTTGATATTGCCTCATGATCATTTTGGGTCTCAATTAATAAACAGTTAGAAAGATCCAATTTCGACTTTGCCGAAAATGTATTAGCAGAAGTATGGGGTCATTTTCCAGAACATGTGCGTGAAAGTTAACAATTGCTTCAAATTGTGAAATTTACCAAAAAGCATGGAAGGCGGGGAGGGGGGAAGACATTTGCCTTACTTTTGCTGATAATGGGGAGGATGGAGTTAATAATTGTGAAAAATCTGCTTACGTAACACTTGAACAGCCATCTATGGATTTTAGTAAAACTTGTTCTGTCTATAACGTTTTCTAACGTGCCGGTTTAAGATAGGCTACCTGAAACTCTTATAAATATTGGAAGTATAGTTAAAAACGCAATATTGATTCTGATATGTGCAACCTGAAACACTTCTGCTTTATAAAAAGTTTCAGTTCAAGCCCAAAATAAGTTTCACTACCACAAAACGTCTCTTAGAACATGTATAGAAAGGATGACATTTATTGAAAAAGTAAAAATTTATGTATGAAAATTTATTTCTTGGCCAAATAGAAAAACGACCTTATAGTCCTGTTAAATCACACTATGACGTAGAAAAACACTGATGCAGATATTCAATTATCAGAAACGCCACGAAACATGTTTGGAAATAAAATAAATGCAATTGTAATCATTTAAATGTAATGTAAAAATTTTATCCAAAATATGCTAGGATTGATTTATTTAGTACTGTTAGTCTCAAAATAATTTGAAAATCATTGTATGTTACGGGCTCTGCAGTTTAGTAGACCTAAAGTCAAAGATCGTACCGCTAGTATTAACTACATCGTGTTTTTCAATTTCAGAGGCGTAACCGAACTGGACTATGCTTGATAAATTATATAGGAAAATTTCCTAAATCATAATCAGTCTTTTCCATTAGTTTTTGGCGTAGAAGACGCCGATGAAGCATCTTTTTTATAGTTTGAAAAGAAGGTCAGCGCCTTCATTAGCTGATAACTTTTCGAAATGGGTATGTTCGAATCGTAAAGCTTTTTCGAGTTCTTACAGTCTACGTAGAACCACCAATTACATTTGAGGATAGTCTGGTCAAATAAGGTCGATTCTGGACACAAGAAACTCTTCATGATCATGCCGTCGTCCGTCAGCGCGCAGACATGAAATACCTGAAATAAAATAAATGTGTCAAGTCGATTGATTCAGATCAGTATACAGGGTGTAACCAGAAGACATGTCAATCACTCGTATGTATATAAATGGTTAGCCATCCGTTGGTATCTTTTTTAAATCGGCATTAAAACTATACTCTTCAATAATATGTAACACTCGGTACTTTATTCATAAGAATACACCTTCCGATTATTGATGAAAAACGTCTCCAAAACGGCCGATAACGCGATGACCGAACTGTGTAAAAGATCGATTGTTTCAGCAGATTGTTCAATGGTGAGTAGACCACATCTACTGTACCACCAGAAACGTCAGCCTCTAGCGGTGATAGTCAAGCACGAATAGTTCCAAATGATAATTGCAATGCATTCTCGCAGTGATCTATTCTTGCAATAGATGGCGCCTTGCTCTGTCTTATTTTATTCGTTTGTAACGATAGAAAACGGAATGTTACACTGGATGCTATTTTTTCTATGTGACTTAGTGTATTTAATCTGTGCTTATATTGACTGCACTATGAAAGAAAGGCCTTAGTATCATGGTTGTTACGGTAACTTGGGTTTTTCATGCAGATATGAAAATTAACGTTTACCTTGTATCAGTTTAGATGCTGATGTATTTGAATACACCTATGGCGAGTATTATATTTTGTGAAACGCATATAATGTGAATTTCGATGATGCCACCGATTTTTAATGGACTGGGTTAAAGGTCATAGGTGTTTCTAGTTTGCCTTTTAGCATGGGTCAAACGAATTACGACAGTTTTGGTGACCAAAATACAGGATGGTCCTCAACAGATGCGCTAGCTAGGAGTCCTAGACGAAACTTGTGAAAATAATGATATTGAGCCATTGATATGTTGCTCGTTAATGCAATACGGGGCACCGCAGAAACGTATGTAATTTGTAACCAGTTAGGCATATGATGATAGATTCTATGATGATTAAACGCATATAATTATTTGTATAATAATAATTTTTTGCTGCTGATCATATTTGGAAGCGTGTAATCGTTCATAAAAATAAAAATAGTTCTAAGTCACCCTGATAAGTATCTCTTAATTGTTATATTAAAATAAATTATGAAAACACTTACCCCTGATTCAATAGTATGTTCAAGTGATTAGGCAATTACGAGGTCACATTTTTTTGTTACATCGTTGGTGATTTCATGGCGATTTTCCCTTGATTCCGTTTAATTTAGCCAGGAACGAGTATTTTCAGCATAGGACTTTCGGTTTATAAAGCAAATCGGCCAGGAGAACTACTGGTCCTTCATATGCAAAGACAGTGAAAAATTAAAAAAATATACCTATTTAAAGTGAACGTATATTAAAAAATACGCTATCTATCCTTTTTTTATTCCGAAGCAGCCGCGCAGGCAGAAGCCTAAATGCCAGGACACCGTGGCTGTTATGACGATCCCAAAAAAATTTGTTACTCCGAATTTTGAACTGCCTAAGGTTAGAAAAACTTCCTCTTGTAGATTGTTCCACAATCTCAACACCCTCGGGACAAAGGAGCGGTCGTATCGGCCAGTTCTAGATGTACGAAGTTCGACACGGTTAGGATGGGAGGCCAAAGTCAGGCGGGTGTGTCTGGCAGGCACATCGCGCGGCGGCATCATGGAAGAGATCTTTGAGGAGCAAAGCCCGTGGGTGTACTGGTAGAAGAGCCCAGCTTTTTCCCTGGTACAGTAATGTGCGTGTAAAATGCTACAGGCAGCAGCGGTGGCCGCAGACTCTTCGGTCTCCTGATCAGTCGCCGTGCGCTGTGCGGGTTCGAGTCCCATCCCAGTGGAAATTTATAAACTATATCACAGAATACCCGCTCAAATTTTTGTAGAAAATGAGGCCTTTTGAAGCATTGTATTTTGATATGTGGGACACTTTCGCTCAACGAGTCCTAAGCGAAACGGCTGACAATACTGTTGAAAAGAAGGTATACTGTGACCCCTCAAAGCCCTGGATCAACTCTAACATATCGAGGATGCTTCGTCACAAGAGATCTTTGTGGCAACGGTTTAGGAGGAGTGGCCATTCACAAGATTACGTGTCTCATCGATCCTTTTCTAACCTCCTATCTAGAACGTTACATAATGCCAAACATGCTTATGAACGAAAACTCGTTACCTCCAAAAATAAGAAGAAGCTGTTTCGGTATCTAAGAACAAACCTGAATTCCAAAGTTTCATCACTTCAGATCCGCGACGCTGACGGTCATCTCCACATGGATGCCACCGAATCTGCCAACTTACTGACAGAGTCCTTTAGTGATGACTTCGTCGATGAGCCTAATGGAGACCTTCTACCGACCACTATCTGCCATAGGTGTCTCAACAGCCTTTGCGAAGTTGAGTTCCTGCCTGAAGATGTATTAATGCACCTGCGAAATCTGAAGACCTCTTCCTCCCCTGGTAAAGATGGGATGACGGCTGCTGTACTTAAAAACTGCGCTTCCCTACCATTAAGCTTGATATTCACATCGTCTTTTAGATCTCATACCCTACCCTCATGCTGGCTTAGTGCTTCTGTTATCCCTGTATTCAAAAAGGGCGACAAATCCTCCGCTAAAAATTATCGACCAATAAGTCTCGTTCCTATCGCCGCCAAAATAGCTGAAAGAATCATATTAGATAAGCTCCTGTCATTTGCTTTCGAAAATGACCTTATCCCTAAGAATCAGCATGGATTTCTCCCTGGTCGATCAATAATGACCAACCTTCTCCACTCTCTCAACGATTGGACTCAGTATCTGGACACAAAGACTCCTGTTGATATAATCTACTTAGATTTTTCTAGGGCTTTCGATCGCGTACCACATAGAAGGCTTCTGTTTAAGTTGGAATGTATGGGAATAAGAGGCGAGTTGTTACTGTGGATTAAGGCTTTTCTCACCGGGAGGACTTTCTCTGTGCGCGTCAGTGATAGCCAGTCTCACCTTCATCATGTAGCAAGTGGAGTTCCTCAAGGCTCTGTCTTGGGGCCAGTGCTGTTCCTTCTGTATACAAGTGACCTGCCCGCATTGATTTCCTCCACATGTTCAGCTTATGCCGACGACACCAAGATTTACAATACTGTCGTAAATTCTGCTATGCTTCAACGAGATCTTGATATTGTTTGTCAATGGTCAGTCAGTTGGCTTTTACCCTTAAATCTAACTAAGTGTTGTGTCCTTCACCTCAGGAAGACAAATCCGCGATTTACATACAAGATCTCTGACCACAACATCGAAGCAGTTTCCAGCCACACTGATCTGGGCGTTGTAGTCAACGATCGTCTTTCCTGGTCAGAGCATATTCACCACGTTACATCAAAAGCCAAGAAACTTCTATACATGCTGGAGAGGTCTTTCAAAGGATCCGATGTCAACACTTGCGCCTACATTTACAAGGCATTCGTGAGGCCAATTCTTGAATTCGCTGGCCCGGTATGGGACACTGTGCTTCTGCGCGATAGAAATCTCGTCGAATCAGTACAGCGTCGGACTACTCGTATCCCTTTTGGAGCACGAAGACCAAGCTATGAAGATCGCCTTGAATTATTCAACCTGACCTCATTCTCTGTGCGAAGACTTCGTGGCGATCTTATAGTTACGTTCAGGATACTTCATGGTTTGATGGGCACCAACCTCATGCATCTATACCGTCTGTCGCGCAGCAATCTACGCGGACACAGCTTCAAACTGCATAAGGAGCCATTTAAAACAACAGTCCGACAGTGGTTTCTTCCCAACCGCATATTCAACACCTGGAATAGTATACCTGAAAGTGTGGTTGGTGCTACTTCAGTTAATAGCTTCAAAGTGCAGTATGATAGCTGGAGGAGTGTACAAACTTTATAGCTATGAACTGTCTTTTTTTATTTTTTTCTATTTGATGTATTTGTGTTACGTGTCCGTACACTATATTTACTGCATGAGCTTATAGTACTGTGTACTCTGCTCATCACATTATTATTATTACATGCGATAGATAAACAATTGTCGAATAATAAGCAATTGATGCACATTAGAGTATTCAAGAAAAGAGGATATGACAGAGTTTAATAATAAATTATATATTTATATCAGATATATGTGGATACGCCACTGTTTATTGTCTTCGTAACAGAGAAAGTGTTCTTGAACCCCAAATATTTAATAGTCATTGGGAATTCTGATGAGGCACCTTAAATCGCCGGAAGTCATACCACGAGAAATCTGGCACCACGAAAAGACCTGTTCTCTTCCTCATTATACCATTTTATGCATATAGGAGGAAAAAACCAAGCATTCGAGAAAGAAATCTTCAAGAATTTTTGACAATATAAGAGAATGTTAGCAGAAGTGTCACAATGACATCACCAAATGACGTCATTTACATCATTTGTCTTATACCCGGTTTTAAGCACATACTAGGAGAAAACCACGCATTCGTGTGAGAATTTTTGAAAATACTACTTTATGTTGGCTGAGGTGCCACATGATACCCACAGATGGCAGCTTTCACGAGCTTGTAGGCAAACCAACTAGCAAAGGCAGTGCCGGCAACCGTTGTGTCGCCATAATCTTGTTGTCAATATTGGTCGGAATAAGGTTGCCAGCTACTTTTGGTGAAAACGATCCCTTTTTTACCTGCCGTCGGCATGGAGCTCGCTCTGATCTAGTTTCTTGCAAAGCTAGGCAAGAATGGGCGTGAGATTTTTGAGTGTTTGGAACGAGCTCACGGAGAAAATTCTCTGACGGAACCAACCGTCAACAAGCGGTTGAAAAGATTTCGGGAAGGCAGAGAATATGTGAAAGATGACCAACGCTCAGGACGCCCCTCCATATCGAGCTCTGAGCGTCGATTGACAGAATGACAGCTGAGGAACTAACAATGCCCAAAACAATCTTTCAATTCTGAAAGAAAAACTTGAAATGAACTAATTGTGCGCGAAAATTGTCCCGAAGCTCTTGACTCCAGAACAGAAGGCAAGGAGGGTTGCTTGCTGTGAGGATTGGTTGGCAGCGGAG